TAGGATACAAGAATGATGTTAAGGCAAACTAGAAAGCAGAAGAGTGTGAGTTGTAGTCCTTCCTTAAGCATTAAACACTTTGAACTGTCACTATCTCTTAGTCCAGCCTATCTCAGAAGGTTTGCGTTGCAGTGAAAATAGGAGGAGGGAGGAGTATTAGGTATGTTTGCTGCCTTGAGTTAATTTATAAAAATAACAAAGGAGGGATATAAATAAATAAAAATATTGGCAAAGATGTTATGCAGGATTTATAAATGAAACCAGTTGATGTTGTAATTGCTAAAAGGGATACATACTATAAATAATGAATCTGAAGGATGACTTGGATGTGCAGCTTTTAACTACGAAGAGGGATTTGGACAACTTTTTTTCATCTTAAAAAAAAGACGTGTTATACCTATGAAGAAGTTTCTGAGAAAAGATAAGAGAGAATGAAAAGAAATCAGCTTCTGGAACAGTAGTCCTTGATTTACAACCATTTGTTCAATGGTACTGGAAAAGTGACTTATGACCATGGGTTTTCAAACTGTTACAGCATCCCTTTGGTCATATAATCAAAATTTGGACGTTTGGCAGCTGGCATGTATTTATAATAGTTGCAGTGTCCTGGGATCTTGGGATCATGTAATGTGCTCTGGTGGTGCAGTGGTTAGAATGCAGTATTGCAGGCTAACTCTGCCCACAGCCGATGGGTTCAAGGTTGACTCAGCCTTCCAGAGTTGATAAAATGAGGACCCAGATTGTTGGGGGCAATAGGCTGATATTGTAAACCAGCCATAGAGTAAAGCACTATGGGGCAGTATACACAAGTGCTATTGTCATTGCTATCACTTTTGCGACTTTCTGTCAAGAAAAATCAATAGGATAGCCAGATTCGCTTAACAACTATGTTACTAATTTAACAACAGCAGTGATTTATAGATAGATGATAGAGATAGATAGATCAGAGGTCCCCAACCTTTTGGGCAACAGGGACCGTTTATGTGGAGAGAGGTTTTTCTGCAGACTGGATGGGGCGGGTTTTGTATGCCATCTGCATCCTGCGGATGAGGTTTTGCTTGCTTGTGTGGACCAGGTAGCGGTCCATGGACCAGGAGTTGGGTACCCCTGAGATAGATGATAGCTAGCTAGACAGACAGACAGACAGACAGACAGAGACAGAGAGAAAGTGTTATTTTTGGTAGGTCTTAATGGACTTTGCTGATTAAGGTTTTATTATTTGCTAATAGATGAAAGATGAGATATGGAATGAAGAATGACATGGAATTCTAGGTTGAAATGTTAAAGTGCTAATTTACTAAAATTAATTGTACTTGTCTTCATGAAAGGGGAAGAATTTGTGTGTGCGTGCATTTGTTTTACATTTTTTTACCTGGTGTCTTCAAACCTGTCCTTCTGAAGGTCTCTAATAGCTTAGTAGTAGTTATTAAGCAATTTATGAAACTTGTTACAAAGTGAGCCTTGTGAACCATATCCTTTAAAAGTTCCTGGTGTGTTTGTGAGCAAAATGCTAATCCTGTTAGCTCCTGGTGCTCAAACCCATGAAAACCTGTTGCCTTGCAGTCTCATCATAGAGAGCAGCCTCCAGAGCACATGGGAGCAACCTCCCATCCTCTCCTTATCCAGAGACATTCCAAGGAACTGCTCAACCCACCAGTTCCTTGGTCTTGGCTACTGTCATTGCTTTGCTTTTGCAAAGCTGTTTTCAAATGCCCTGCCTCTCCCAAAAGCCCAATATTGTTACAATTCTGCATATTTAATTTTACCTTTAGATTTTCTTTATATTGAACAAATTTATATTGAGCAAATATGAAAACAAATACTAGGGTGAAGTGATGAAGAAATTTAGGTTTAAGTCTATCCTCAGATTTAGAAATACGTCCTCAGATTTAGAAATATATTGGGAAACCTTTGACCAAACCTTCTCCCTCAGCTGAATTTGCTGCAGAGGTTTGCTGTTGTAGGAAGGAAATGAAGAAAGATCCTCATGTAAAGTACTTTGAGTTCCAGGAGAATAAGCAAGATACCAATCTAAAGACAAATGTAAATATGAATTGGAATTTTTGAAAATAAGTTTTAGAAATACAGTAAGAGAAACAGAAATAAATTGGTGCTACTAGAATGGAAGACAGAAATTTGAGGTTTGTGTGCAGTGTAACCTTACCATAGCGATACAAAGACATGTTGAAAGTCTCTCTTAAGTCCCTGGATATTAACACCATCTCTTGGGAACTTCTGGCGCATGATCGACCGACATGGCGCACTTTGGTGTACCAGGGTTGCCAGACATATGAACACAGGACAATCTTGGCACAAGAGAAGTGAGCACTCCGCAAAGCCAGAGCTGTAAATGCTGAAGTAACAGTGTCTACATTTCCTTGTTCAGTATGTGGCAGAACATTCCGTGCTAACATCGGTCTTATTAGCCACCTACGGACACATCGTTGATGGCCCATAACCCACAAGATGGCAAGGTCTTCATCGAAAATCAATGGACGAACAACAACCTTACCACAAACTTACTTCAAGTTACTCTGATGTGAATATACATGTAGACTATAGACTGTGCACTATGCTGCTTCTATAGGAACTGAATAGCTAAAATATGGATTTAGTCATTCTGCATGTCTGTCAACTTTTCACACCCCATTTATTGCACAATATAAAACTTTGGCTAGGTATAAAATTCCTCAAGGAAATTACTCTTCTTTCCCAAGAAATTAGTACACTTCAGATATTGTCATAATAGTTGAGGAAGTTGAAAGTTGATGTCAAATACCTCTGGCACGAAGCCTGCACTAGAAGCCAAATCTGATTGTGGAATCAGATCTGTCGTATCTCTGGGACCCAGGCACTTTAACACGTGAAGGCAACTTACGTTGCACAGCATGACATTTTCTCCTGTCTTCTATTGAAGTATTCTTTTAACCAGTAATGTTATTGTTCAAATATATTTTTGTAATATCATTGCCAAAGTTGGCTTTTAAATCAGAGAATGTTTGCAGAATAACTGAATACTGCAATATATAATGTTTGGTGTACATGAAGTCGGTAAAAAAAGAATAAGAATGTTTCTATCTGTGAAATGTCATTCTTTGTAGATATAACCATTTATGTCAAAGAAACAAATTCTAATAACCATGTATCATGAGCTGCAAGATTTGTGTGGGAAGCGTAAGAGAAAAATAAGTGACAAATCACAGAAAGCAAGGAATTAGTTCCATTATCACTAAAATGGTTGGAGTGTAGTTGAAAAATATCAAAATAAAATTCTATCTTGTGTGTTCTATTAGTAATGTTTTTTTAGAGTATGTAACAACCCTTCAGAGATACTTATTTTATACTGAATTCTAGATCACCATAGCTCAAGCGCACTTATACTTTGTTGAATTTATTGTAAAACCACTGAAATTGAAACAGTACTTGTGTTTGTTAAGAAAAAAACCTGTACATTTTCATATATTATATGTGTGTTTGTGTGTCTTTGTATACACCAAACAACCATTATCTTGATCATCAACCACCCAGAACACCAATAAGTGAATATAGTGCATTGGGATTTGAGAACAGCAACGTATCAGCTTTCACTATTAGCAAAGGAAATATGCAGTCTTATGAAGACACTTTGTCAAGCAACATGTACAAAATCAACACTGTACAGATTTACCTCAGGAATCCTGATAAAGCAGCTTTTGTTTCCCAAAATACTGAAGACAAGCAAGACAAGTTTTAAGATAGTATAGTATCTTAAAGCTATACAATTGCCAAAACCCTGCAACAAACCAGAGATGGTTGCCAGGAACCACCATGCACATCTGCACGCATACAAAATGAAAAGTACCAATGAAGAATATTTGTGGCTCAGGGTTGAAATGAGGGGTCCTTGGTGCTCTCTAAGCTTGCTTGTTTTCTTGCAGATGTTTCATTACTCTAAGTAACATCATCAGAGCTAGTAAGGAGTGGGGTTTGCTCTCAGTTTATATTCTGGGGTCTTGCCTGTCTGTGTGGATGGGGGCGGTCTAAAGGATTCTTTGGTTAGGCTGTTTATTGTTGGCTTCTTTGGTAGCTTCTTGATTGGAGTATTGTTTACTTGATTGCTGGTCTGATGTTAATCTTGGAGTTAATCTATGCTCATCTGCATGCTGATTACTGGTGGGGAAGTGCTGGAGTCTCTTTTTCTTTTGGGCTGGTTGATTGTCTCTTTTGCATAGTCAATAGATATTAATGTCTATGTATCTATTGATGGCTGATTTGTCAGAGTGCCAGACTTCTAGAAATTCCCTGGCATTTTTGGATTTGGCCTGGTCTAAGATTGTCACATTTTCCCAATGGAAACTATGGTTAAATCTGTCTATATGTTGTGAAATCAAAGAATTTGTGTCATGTCTTTTGACTGCCAGTTCATGGATGCATTCTATCAATCTACAGTCTGTTTGCCCCACATAGTGGTTGTTACAGTTCTTACATTGTATGTTGTCAATGATTCCTGTTTTTTCTTTTGGGGTTGCTGGGTCTTTTGGTTTGCTTAGGATGTTTTGAAGGGCTTTAGTTGGCTTGTGTGTAGTAAACAGCCCAACCAAAGAATCCCACCCAGACAGGCAAGACACCAGAATATAAACTGACAGCAAACAGCACTCCTTACTAGCACTGACTAGCACTATAGTCAGGGTAATGAAACGTCTTCAAGAAAACAAGCAAGCTCAGAGAGCACCAAGGACCCTTCAAAAAGTGGTCTGGGTAAAAGGCACTGATCAATGCCATTTTTGTGCTCTGGTCAGCTGGAAAAGTGGTAATTGGTGCACCATTTTATTGGTACAGTATTTTAAGAATACCTAAGCAAGGAGAAGTAAAGACATCTGCAGAACAGCTTCAAACTGATTTTGAAAAAGTCTAGAGTAGTTGCTATGTCTGCGTGACATATCCAGTTTATTTTCTGTGAAGTAAGGGATTATTAAATGTGAATACTGCCTCAAGAATTTCAGACAATACACTTATGCTCATTTTTAAGACACTTATATTTCATTCATGTAAATACAATATTTGGAAGGATGGAGGGGAAAAGAACAACCATCAGCAAGGTGAATGGTATGAATTACAGCAATATATTAGAAGAAGTGAAGGCCCGTGCTGGGAACAGATTTTCCTATAGAATAAATTTGTTAAAAACATATTTTTATTGTGTAACGAGTCAGAAATATATATATATATAATTATTCATTTTAGCAATTGTCTATCCACTGGAGGATGAAGGCCTCTTCTGCAATTATAGTGGCAATCCAGGCTCACCTTGGTGGAAGGTTCTTACCAAGTGATGTGGATTGGCTGACACCATTTTGTAATATGCTCAATTTATTGCTAGAAGGGTCTTTCACTTATACACATACTTCTGGGTGATAGATGACCAACTTTGTCATCCTTTTGTGAACCTATGCAAGATTATTCCACAATACTTTTCAGAATCTTATGCTAAATAATGCAAAATTGGCATGATACCAGATTGTATTTTATAGCACAAATAAATATTTTTAGGACATTCATTTGGAATAGTTTCTCAGTTGTTATCACATAATTGGAATGTGACAGCTATGTCTGGAATAGGGGTTCTTTCTACTTCACAGGCAGTGTAGAGTGGTGGTGTATTGGGGTTTGGGGTTTTTTTTGGGGGGGGGTAATTCTAAAAAAGACCAAGCTAAACATGGTTTAATAAGTCACATTTTTGACTTGGCTTGCACTGAATTCTGAAAATTGTTACTGCTGTAACTTTCAGCATCTGAATTTATGTTGTTGCAGCAAATGGATGAAAACATGCAAAAAGCAAACAGACTCTGACAACAGTAGTTGAGAAAAAAGGCTTATAAAAATAAGGTTCATACTTCAGACTGCTGTCTTCCAAAAAGCAAATTTTGTCTGCATACCCTGTGTTCTTATTTAACATGTAATACAATTCATATTGTTAAATATAATTAGTTCCCTTAGCATTAATTGTACCTGCTATGTAGATCATCAGGATATCTATATACGTACTAAACTCCTTTCTTAAATGAGCAATAACTCTGATTTCAATAGAAAAGTAGCATTCACATTAACCCAGTAGTGCAAAGACAAGGTTCCTTGATTCAAGTTATATTTACAAGTCACCAATTGCATACAGAGAGTTTGCTGAGGTATTTAACACTTCTAAAAATATATAAAATGCAGTCTTCTCTTTGTTAGGATAACAATATTTTTTTTAGAAAAAAATGATTAAAATAACTTTTTTTAAAAAAATGCAGTTTGCTATAATAAAGGATTTCTTTAACAAAAGATTGTGCAGTATCACCTGATTGAAACTATTTATTAATAATTTCGAAGGGAATAAAGGAATTCTGTCTCTCTCATACACACACACACACAGTCCCTATCTAATAACCTATCTATCCTTTTGTTACATATATAAATAGGTAACATAGCTATTACAGCATAACTACTTTCTAATCAACCAACTTCAAATGCTAAGAATACTAAATAGTGCAAAAAAATAGTGCAGAACATTTCATTCCTGAGCCTCAAAAATAAAATAAGCTGAATTCAAATTAACACCGTTTTTCTTTTTCTTTTATGTTGGGGTTTATCCTTTCATTATAACTCTGATATCAAGCCTTCTTATAAAAATCATTATTTCCGCAGGAAGCAAATAGATGCCACACAATTTGAAGTCTTAGCTGAAATTAACTGAAGCACGTAAGCAAGCAGAATGGCTCAACACAGATCCTGAGTGAATTTTCTTCCCTTCAATGTTATCATGAATCTAAAGAAAATCTTTATAAACCAAGGCGTTACAACCATGTATGGTGTATATTTGTTCTTCAAATGTCCATATTACTTAAAATCAAAACATATTTTTTGTCAATAAGATTTTCATTGTGAAGAATATAGAGGACTCCATAATCTGTTTGGAGAACTGTTTTGTTGACTTGAAGATATAGGGTTGAAGGGAGTTGTAGGAGTGACAGGAACTCCGGTAACTGTAAATAAGCAGAATGATGAGTATGTATCAAAAATGCCCTATGTAACTCTCTGTGAGATCTAGTTCAGAACAATTAAAACGGTAAATATATAGAAAAGATGTGTCATTACAATCCATGGATGAACACCCACCAAACTTTACACTAAACTACAGATGTGGAAGGCCTGACTTTGGGCTAAGAATTGTCCTCCACAAGGTGACCTTTGCACCCAATGATCTGTTTGCAGCAAACAGCATTTATTAAGGACCAAAGGCTTATCTGGATTGGAAGATCCACAGCTTTTACCCTTCCCAAAGTGAAGCAAAAAGATAGAGTTAGCTGTTCGAATGTGGTATTGATATTATCTGTTTAGGCCTTCAGGTAACTAGAAGCAAGCAGTCGCTAAGAAAGTATGGCAAAGTGGGAGCCGTAGCTCTTGGTATACATGTATCTCTGTTGATATTTTGATATTACTCTCTTATTTCAGCATCCCACCAGAGATACATATGAGACCCACTATCCTGAGCATCCACAAGGCCCTTAAAAGGTGGATCTGTTCCCAGGCTTCTGGCTGGAGTATTGGTAGAACCCCTGTTGTGTTTTCTGATTATATGGCTGCTTTTTAATCTGGAGCAGTATGTTTTGTTATTATAATAATAACGTAATAACAATATAACAAAATCAATTTAAATAACAACAATAATAAGCAGTACATCTCTTTTTGAACCCATTATATGCTTACCATCTTCACATGAAATCACTATCATTTACAAGTAGAGGGGATTTAGGTCCCCATTTGGTTCTCATTTGTTTTTTCTCTTTTCCTTATACCAATTATGTCACCATCAACTCGGGTTAGAGCTGTATATGATGGTAATGCAGTTTCTTAAATTTAATTATCATGTAAAGTACAATTATAGCATTTATCTCCAACTTTAGATGCAATATTATTAATTACCATGATCCTTAAGCACAAAGTTTAATGAATATCATGCTTACGTGGTCTTTGAGGACTTGTCTTTGAGATGAAAGCTGGATGTATTTGCTGTTCATTCGGAGAGAAAAGAGTATAGTGCACTAAAAATGCAATGGAACAAATATATAAGCTTGTTTCTATTTAAATTACTGCTAATTCTTTTTTTTAAAAAAATCTGAAAGTAAATACTTCAAATTTCAGTGGATACTCTTACCTATGATCATAACAGCCATTCCAGCCAAAAGCGCAAATGCTGTAAAAAATATAACTTGATAGGAATCAAGAAAGTGTTGGAATAAACTTGTATTATCTGAATAAAAAAGAGAAAATGTTGATTTTAGTCTTTAATTTGTATTCTAGATGCACTTTTTTGCTTTATTACTTTTTCCCATACATTTTTATCTAATCTGATTTAATCCAATCCAATCCAATCTATGAACATTCAAACAATGTTCAGAATTTGCTAATGAAAACTCAGTGCTATGAAAAACAATTGAAACTTTATGAATTCTGAAATAGTGGACCAACATGTTGTAAAATCATTCTGCAATAATATTAAATTTACAAATGTTAGCAAGTGGGTGTAGCATAGTGATTAAAGTGCTGGAGAGACTGGAGATCAGTTCACTTTCAGCCATGTTAGCTCACTGCCTGAGTTTGAATTAGTTACTCTTTCTTAATCTACATTGTCTCACTGGATTTTTGTTGTAGGGAAGACCTGGAGAAGAGAGTACAGCCTTGAACCTCTTAGCGCCAAGTGGACTTTAACAAATAAATAAAACATATAACTTTGTAGATAAAATAATCCAATTCTAAAAAAAATACATCAGAATACATCAATATTTTAGAGGAATAGGAACTTACATTTCATTGACAGAGTTCTGTCAGACACATAGGTAATTGTCACTGGGATAGTGATAGATTGGTCCGTCATTGTGCTGGATATAGTAAGTACAGTATTTAAATTTGTTTTACTTGCAATTTCTGGGTCTGATAAACTCACAGTGTAGGTTACATAACTAGGTAAGCCATAAGATCTGTCTTTCTCAAAAATCACCACCACAGGTGAGCTGGATCTCACCTGTAAGATAAATATTTGGTATCATTTACCAAAAGCATAGTTTCCCCCTCAATTCATAAATGACACATTATTTCAAAGAACTGAATCAAATATCTCATTTAATTTCTGATTTATTTGCAAATTGCACAATTTGTCTCAAATATGATCATTTTAAATGGAGTTTTTCATTTTGGTTTCATGCCAGTTTTTCCTTTAATAAAAGTTCATTTTTAAATATTAATTGATCATTTACGTGGGATAGATAAACTGCTAGTGACAGTTAATTAATTACATATATAAAATTGAACTGTGTCTTTTATTTTCAAAGCTTTTAAACAGAACTAAGAGTAAATCTGTTAGATGGTCTAGAACAGGGCTTTTCAACCAGTGGTACGGGTACCACCTGTGGTACATTGGCACCTGGCAGGTGGTATGTGACCATCCTAGAAAAGTGGTAATGGGGGAGGGGAATGAGCTGAACTGGTGGCAGCACCCCACAAGCCTGAACGAGAGATGGCTGGAGCTGCAGGGCTGTCAGGACTCAGTGGAAACGCCAGGATCAGTGCCACTTTCAAGCTGATCGGCGCTTCTTTGAGGCTGCCAGGGTTCAGTGGAAATGCCAGGATCAGTGCCAGGCTCCAGCTGGAGCTCAGCGCTGATCCTGGTGCTTCTGCTGAGCCCTGAAGAAGCACCAATCAACTGGAAAGCAGCACTGATCCTGGCGCTTCTGCTGAGCCCAGAAGAAGCGCCGATCAGCTGGAATGTTGCAGCATCTCTAGGGTCTTATGATTTACATTCAGATGCTTGGCAACTGATTCATATTTCTGACGGTCACAGTGTCCCAGGGTCATGTGAAGTGACCAAAACCTGCTACAACTACCCAGCAGATGGGGGGAATAAAAATCAAACACGCCCCCCACCCCCGCTGCCAATCCTCAACAGAAATGCTCACAACAATGAAAACCTCGGACAGGAGGAAGAGCACAACTGAGCAGGCAGGCAGGTGTCTTGCTCGGCTATGGCTTGGGGGGCACTTTTTTCAGTGCCATTATAACTTCGAACAGTCACTAAGCGAACTGTTGTAAGTCGAGGACTACCTGTACTTGATCACTTTTTTCCTTTTTTTTTGGGTCAAGTTTTTGACACCTTGCTAGGCGACTGGTGGTACTCAGATGTTGCCATATCCTAAAAGTAGTACAATGGGTGAAAAGGTTGAAAAGCCCTGGTCTAGAACAGGCATGTCAAACTGTCGGCCTGCAGGCCAGATGCATCACACCGAAACCGCGCCCACTCCATTGCCAGCAATGGGGGAAAAGTCACGATATATTGCGTGATATCACGTGATGTGACGAGTTTGACATGCCTGGTCTAGAATCATCAAATCACATGAAATTAAAAGAGAAGTCAGATGCTTTTTTATTAATATAGAAAATGTATATTGGCAATCACCTTACATTTGAACTCTGGATGGTTAACAACAATCAACAAAAACAATGTAATAAAACCTCTGAACACCAAGTGGAAAAGAATTAAAATAATCATAATACAATAACAGAGGCACCATGTAATAGATTCAACACACAAACCATACTTATACTGAAATATTAAATAATGAGATGAAAGCCAGAAGCCAAATTATTTAATGAATATTTTGACCTTATTTTAGTGGCATCTGTAGATGAATCGAATACATCTCAAAGAATTGGCAAACTTAGTTTTAATTTTTGTTCAAAGGCAGGCAATATGAATAAGTTATTACTTTTTAAAGTCTGGTTTCTATCCTTGGCCAAAATCCAATTCACTTTGAATTTTTCATCACAGCTAAAATATTCATATGATTTATTTAATCAATTTACTACCATTTATATCTCACTCACCCAGCTCTAGAGATTCTGACTCTAGAGAATACTAGGTGGTTAGTATTTACCGTAAATGCCGGCGTATAAGACGACTTCCGCGAGTGCTGAAATCGGCGCCAAAGACGGGGGTCGTCTTATACGCCGAGTCATCTTATACGGCGGAAATACTGGTAGTTTCTGGCGTATAAGACGACGTTCTAGGAATGCGGCCCGGCTATAAAGACGGGGGTCGTCTTATACGCCACGTCGCCTAATATGGCGGCATATACGGTAAATACAAACTCATTAACAAACTAACAAACATATTGACATAAATAGGAAAAACACAAACAAAAGTTAAAAAGAATCCACTGTGTAGCTCCATATTCTTTTAAAGAGCCAGGTCTATGCTCTATTTTAAAATGATAACACAACAGGTCAGTTTCACAAAAATTAAAAGAGAAATTGTGTTGAAACTTACTTCAAGATTTTCAAGAACTTCAGCAGTTCCAAAGATCTTCATGTCAGAACTTGTGTAATGATTAGTTAGGATAAATTCAGTCTGATTAGCATAGAATCCTGGATTAAATGGCACTTCAGTGCTAATCTGCTCTAAGGTTTGACTGCCTTGGAGAGAAGGTGTGATGATGATGGCCGTTTTGCTCATGGTGAGTTGTTTTAGCTGCTTGTCCGCTAGTCTGAGCACTCTGATGGAACAAGTATACTGTCCTTATAAAAGAAGACCAATGTGAATGTTAACATCTTTCTACTTTTTCATTTTGTAGATTATTTTGTTGCTGGACATTCTTCATGTTAGTGCTAAGCATGGTCACTTAGAGGTAAGTGGCGATTTTTATGATGACTGGACAGCATCAGTAGGAAGGCACCACAAACAATATTATATTTACAGTACAATTGCTAGATGACCCTATGCATTCACAGTGGGAGGAAGAGGTGGCAAAAGGTGACAGACGACACTGATTTACATACTTGCACCAGGATCATGATACAATTACATAATGTCAATTTGATGATATATTTGTCACAATGTTGGCACCATTGTGGCTTCTTATGATTCTGCTGCAGATAACAAATGGGACAATGTTTGTTCTTTTAAATTTAATTGAAAGATTTTTTTTCAACATGCATTTAAAAAAAATATTTTAAGCAATAATGGGAAAAATGGATGTTTGTCAAGCATCCTTATTAAGCTTGATACCAATTCCACTACTGCCTTGGGTTTACACTGTGGTTGTAGCCAATCGACCTTATTATTAATAAACTGGTCTAGCAATTTTTCTATCTTTATTTTCACAGGCTGCTCATAATTGCTTTATTACTTACTGTTTGAATTATTTTGCTTGTTCAACTAATGATCTTTAACAGGAGGTATGTATCAGGCATCCAAGACTGATTCTGAGATTCTCAACACATAAAGTCTACCATAAACTTCCCTTATAAGATAAACATAATAATTTACCAATGAATAAGCATTTACTTGGCTATATATAGGAAAGTTAAAGCAATTTTGCTGAAAGAATGCAAATTGTCCACAGAACTGAAATAAGTTTAACTTATCTTGGAGTTCTAATTGGAAAGAGCCAATTTCAATGCCAAATCTTTATTTTATGCAGAACTGAGAAATAAGTTCAATTAAGTGGAAAGCATTTTCAAGGCTTACAACCTTTTAGAGATTTTTAATATACCATATCAACTTGTTGCACCAATTTGCAAGGTTTAAAAGATTAGGCAAATTCCTGAAGGACAGTTCTATGAGTAAGCATTGCCCATTATACTCAACTGGAAACAAGTAATGCAGCAAACTCTGAATACTCTGTTTTTCTTCTCGTGAGATTCTCAATCCAGTGACCACCATTAGAATTCATAGTTGTACTCTTACTACAGTTTTGTCCTTTTATCTTACCTAAAGCTGTATCAAACATGGTTTCAGCTGCAACAATTTCAGAAGCTTGGAAATCAAATACATTATTGTTGAAATTAAGTTGACAGTTGACCATAGACTGGGGTTTCATTTCTTCTATTACTTCATTTTGGGCACTTGAACATTCTCCTAAGGAAAATTGAACAATAGAATTGAGAAATCACATAGTTCCACAGAAAGTAGACACAGCACATATATTATCTAAATGTCACTTATATAAGAAAGAGATCAGTATCCTAGACTGTACATTAGATAAACAGCCTACTGGTATCCTTTCATTAAAACAATATATTTCATGTTGAGTCAGAATTCAAAAATTACATATATTATATGGCATTTTATTTGAATAAAATGGCTCAGTTCAGATCTTCATATGTGGGTCTAATTGGGGTAAATTGTATGGATGATATAGAAATATGATTGGCATTCTTCATTCTTTTTAAGAAAATTGTTTCATTTTTATATATGGCCTTATTAATGTTCTTTTATATTCTGCATTTTGATAGTGCCTAATGGCTAATCAACAATAAACTATTGAAAAATTACAAAAAAAATCTATTCAAGAATAAACTGTGGTAAGAAAAGTCATTTCAAGCAGCGATTTCAGAATTTTTAAAAAGTGCCGTTGATTAGAGCAATAAGACTTAAATAGACAAGCTTTCTTTCCTGTGCTCAAAGCATTTAATAAAACAATTTTTATAACAATATTTGTTGAGAATGAATTATATATAAAGTATTGCCAGGTGATAGGTCGTATTGAATGACATATAATCTCACTTTATTTAAACTCTGGATAAAGACATAGTAATCAAGAAATCTGACTATTCTATGGAAGTCTCATTAATGTGTTTTTCAAAGGTTGTCAAGAAGATAAATTGTGTCATTTATTATTGAATTGTAATGGGACATTAGTTCTCCTGAAAATATATTCAATAGCTCAGAAACTGCTGAGTGTTCTGCACTATGCTGTTGAACTATACTTACTTATAAATCATTCCGTTTTTGTTATACCACAAAAGATATTATTTATGTCACAAATTGAAACATAATTTGAATATATCAAGGAAGAACTTAGGCAGGGCATATACACTTAGATTTTATCTTTATCAAGCAGGCATGTCTAATCTATGGCCCTGGACAGCTACTAAGAAGTCACACAGGATCGTAAACTTTTAACATTATTATGTGATTTATGTACAGTAACTATATTATATATTTTATATATGGCCATGATAACTCTTCTTCACTCAGTGTGATTTAGGCAAGCCAAAAGATTGTATACTCATGGTTTAAAGCATATATAATTGTGATTTTAATTATCTTCTCTACTATTCAATAAAGGAAAGTGTTGAAGTAAGTAGAATTTCTGCCTACATAGGTAGCCAATTTACTGATTTGTTCAACATACCCATATTCTCAATATTTCTTACATAGACTACAATCCTGTGATTTACCGTGGCTATTAAATTCAGTGGGGACTTCTGCACAATATTAGACTCTTTGTGGCAATGTTGAGTTACAATATACATGCCAGTTATGTCATATTGTTGTTAATTGCGAAGTTGTGTCCGACACACCGTGACCCCATGGACAACGTTCCTCCAGGTCTTCCTGTCCTCTACCATCTTCTGGAGTCCATTTAAGTTCATGCCTACTGCTTCAGTGACTCCATCCAGCCACCTCATTCTCTGTCGTCCCCTTCTTCTACTGCCCTCAATCTTTCCCAGCATTAGGCCCTTCTCCAGTGAGTCCTTCCTTCTCATTAGGTGGCCAAAGTACTTGAGTTTCAACTTCAGGATCTGGCCTAAAGAGCAGTCAGGGTTGATCTCCTCTAGGACTGACCGGTTTAATCGCCTTGCAGTCCAGGGGACCCGCAGGAGTCTTCTCCAGCACCATAGTTCAAAAGCCTCAATTCTTTGTCACTCAGCCTTTCTTATGGTCCAACTGTCTCTGCTTTTTAGTATGCTGTCTAGATTTGCCATAGCTTTCCTCCCCCGGAGCAAGTGTCTTTTAATTTCTTGGCTGCAGTCCCCATCTGAGGTGATCTTGGAGCCCAGGAAAATAAAATCTGTCACTACCTCCATTTCTTCCCCATCTATTTGCCAGGAATTGAGAGGGCCAGATGCCATAATTTTGGTTTTCTTAATGTTGAGTTTCATGCCATATTAAGGCTGGAATAAATGTTGTTAACATTCATCTACAAAACATGTCCAGAAAAATGTCATATAGACTTCTTATTTCTAGTTCTTCCATACATATGGAATTTCAACTTCCAAAATTTCCATCTTGCTGGGACTTCTAGAAGCTAAAATTCAACCCATATGAAGATAGCAGTTTGGCAAAGACTGTTCAAATGGGTATCCATAATTAAACATTAGCAGTTATGCTGAAACACATAAATAATAGGAGACTGCAGAAAAAGATTGATTGTAAATGTAAGCTTAATTTAATAAGCATACCTTTCAAATTTTTACTTCTGTGTCCAATTTGAAGTAGAACTTTTGAAGTATCCTGAATATTTGTTTTTGTTCCACTTACATGTGCTGCCACAATCCTTTGAGGCTCGTTAATTAACACCTAAAGGGGGGGGGGGAAAGATCACATAATAATGACAATTGTTTGGATGGATCTAATTTTCTCTTGAGTTTAGAGATCATAAAATCTGGCCACTTGGGTATTTTCTGAATTAGCCTGTATCTCACTTTAATATTAGTAGTATATAAATTTAAACATGCTGTCTTATTATTTAGTTTAAACCTTTGGAAAATTTTGAATCAAACAAATCATGTTTATCACATAATAAAACATCAACAACAAAAACAACAACACATACACTCATGGAAGATTGCCTGGACAAGTCCATGCAGTTTTCTTGCCATGATGTTTATAAGTAGTTTGCCACTGCCTTCTTCCTAGGGCTGAGAGGGAGTCACTGGCACAAGGTCACCCAGATGGCTTGTGCCTCAAAGTCTCCTGGCTTCTATTCTGGTACTTAACCACTATAGGAAACTAACTGTAACTGTATTTTATATATTAAAACATTCTAATTTATACTCATGCTCTTGACTTTTTAAACTATGTTGAAATAACTAAGGATAATAGTATAAACTAGTAGTTCTTAAACTCACTGACTCAATTATCTCTTTTCCTGGTGTTGGATTGCATTACTTACTGTTTCAATTAGTCTCATCAACACCTCCCTTCTCAGACTGTTGTTTTACCCAAGCATTTCAGCACTGGCAGTCCCAAACTGGATTCTTCACTCACAAACAAGCAATTACAAATTGCTGCATTACTCCAAGGATATCCTTGGATTCCCCCCCCCCCACGGGCGTAATTATCCCCATTTAAGAACCACTGGCATAAACATTAATTTATTACAATGTTCAATATTTCTTGCTCTATGGATGTGTTCAACATATCAACTCTTGTAACATATTATCTGTCCTAAGATAATATCACAGAAAATCAGAAGAATTTAAAAGACATAACTACAATACTATTGGATATGCGATTGTTATACCAGTAAACCTTGATTTACTACCAGAGTTAAGCCCAAAATTTCCATTAGTAAGCAAGACAGTTGTTAAGAGAGATACACCCCATTGCCACAGTTGTTAAGGATTACTCCACTTGTTAAACAAATATGTTGTTAAACAAATCTGGCTTTCCTCATTGACTTTGCTTGTCAGAAGATGTCTGGGAAGGTTATAAATAGTGATCACATGACTATAAAACAGTGCAACAGTTGCCATACACCTTAATTTTTTTTAATCATGTCACCATCAGGATGCTGTAAATGTGAAAACCAGTCATAAGTAATTTTTTCCCATGTGGTTGTAATTTTGGTCATTAAATGAATGGTTATAAGTCAAGGAGTACACGTAATCTGTTCTCTATAGACCATGAGCTTTATTTTTTATTTAGGTTCCAATAAAGAAAAATTATAATGAAATACATGGTTTTCTGTTTCATATGCACATTTTTGTATCATCATTGTACCAAATTTATTTATTTAATTTCACTATTGAAGTCTCTTGGTTTACAATAAAAACAAATGACCTATCCCTGAATTGTGATCAATTTATAATAGTAAACCAACCTTTTCAAACAATCTATGTGGGTTCATATAGAAAGTGACATCTTAATAGGAATTGGAACCATTGCAAAGTTGTGTCCTAATTTCAAATCTGTCAGGCAACAAACTGAGAGAATAAAAGGAATCAGCATTTGTGATATTACCTAAAATCTTTAATAATCTCATGGCTAAAAGTCAAAAGCCATGTTATATAGTAAGCCAGAGGTCAAATGTGCAATGTATTGTTCTAAGCAACCTGCCCATGTCTGTATGTTTCATATTAAAATTGATCTAACCAAACTACATAAGAGGAATTACTAGAGAGTTGATTATACATCAAGGGTGGCATCTTAACTGCCCTGAATATAAAAGACTGTATCAGCAAAGAATTCAAAGTGCTATAATAAATCCAGATTATTCTATGATAGATATCTGTTAGGAGTGAGCAGGATATGAAATAACTTGAGCAGCCACTGCTCTTGTGTCATAAACATAGAAAGTAATTTCTTCTTTCCTATGCATATGGCCACAGCATTGGCCTTCAAATAGGATTGGTGTTATTGTACTAGGTTGTTGTCAGGTCTTTTTTCAGCTGTGCTCTTGCTGATTCATCTCCTACTGTTTAATATTGTGCAATAGGGCTAACTCTGAAGCAAGTAAAGTAAGTTTAATGGTAATCATGTCAATCATTCTAGTAAATTCTTTAATCCAGGTACCAACCAGGGCACTTACAGAATAACTGGTGGAACCAGTCCCAAACTCTTCCAAGGCGTTTTCGCTTCCAACTGGGTCCAATAAGCATTTCAAGCAGGTCATCCTAACTTGCCCACTACCCTGAAGAGGTGATGTGCATCTATTAATCCAACCTTAACTGGATGATGAGCCATTCCTGAGAATGGGAAATCTCAGGTATCTCCACTCATAGAGAACCTAACCAATTAAAACAAACAGCAAACTGAATAATATGGATAAACCCATATTTCCCGATTGCTATTTCAAATAAACCAACTTCAAAATGGATTATTAAATTCCAGGTGTAGATGGTCTCCAACAAAAATTATAGGAAAGTTTAGTCAGGGATTTTGGTATGCTAATGAGTTAGCAATATATTTACAGAATTCCGAATCAACTCTAAGTCTAAGATACAGATGCATACACTCAATATGAAACAATTATTTCACATGAATTAAGATATTGTTCTTATAGATCACAGCTACATTTCCCCATATGCGTCCTCCAGCCAGACTGCTTACCAAAAATTACACTGGAAGAAATGCAGGTTATCTATGATGCTGAACCTTTCCCATAGCCTAGAAGCTGATTAGTGTGCCTTCAATCTTTAATCTTTTGCTGTAACATCTCCTTACCTATATTAAAATTTTTGTTTCTCAAAACTACTATCATTGACACTCTAGATTCCATATCATTGCCTGTCCTCCATGCAACAACATGAACTTTTAATAGATCAAAAGGACATCATTTTTCCACTCAAAGAAACCTCTTGGGATCCCTTATCTTACCACTCCTCATACACACTGTCCTGAAATGCCAACCAAGCTCTAACTTTGAATCCAACTTCCTGCTGGTCCACCTTTCACCAGGTGGCCAAAGTGTAGACTTAAACGTCTCTCCCAGCAATTCCTGATTCCCACTCAACAGCAGCTCTAGTCCCTGCACACATATTGAAATATTACTATTAGGGAATTCAGCTCTTTGCATCTTTTGGCTCCAAAGTGGTTCCTCCTTGAAGCAACACCTCCCTTGGGGTTGCAACCCAAACCATCCTGCCTTAAGCAGCCTTCCTAAAAAAACAGCAAATAATAGCTGGCTAGCAAACATTCCCATGGAGGGCCCCTCAGTGGGTTCCGAACTGGCAAGCAATAAAGCCCTTGCTTCTCAAACTCCTGTTTAGTTCCACTGGCTCATTCTACACAGATGAAGTGACCTGTTTTGGTGTTTGATGTTTTAGGAGATGCTGATGCAGAAATCTGAAAGATCCATGCCATGAATCAAGTATATCCTCTGCTGAGTTGTCAGGAATTGTTTGATCCATGAATATTTTGGCTTACTCTGATGCAGTCTGTGATTCCACGTTGGCTTTAGGTTGGTCCCAAATGAATATTAATGATCCATTCCTCTGACTTATTGCTCTGTCATGGTAGCAGCAAAAATCATTGGCAATCTATGATTAATGGGTCTTTTACAAGTCATGAGGTTCCATGAGGAAGGATGATGTTTCTTCAAACAATTTGTTGCAATTCTATGATTATAAACGATACTTTGTTTTTTATTTTAGGAGCTATAAACTCTTTGGCATGAGCTTATACTCACTAATGAGTAATTGTTAAGGCCTTTGCTGTAATAAAATAAAACACCTTACAGCAGTGGCATAAATGTTTCAGTTATAAGATAACATAAAAACTCTAAATATACAAACCCAAATAAAATAAAAGTATAATAATGACAAATTTCAGAAGTGACTTACCTCCCTATATGTCTTACACAATCCAGATAGGTCATAATATATTATAACATTTCCAGGGTTTCTTGCTACAGCTACTCCGGCTTTTGAATCAATCTGAAGAATACTGTTTGAAGAAGACCTCCATATTCCTGATAAACCTATGAAAAAGAGTATTTGTAAAAATAATCATATTGCAACTACCAATCATAACAGACTTAATTATTCTCCACAAAAGTAATGTCTATCATGAGTATATCTAGGTTTTTTAATAAATAAATGTTTGTAATATATTGATTTTCTACTTTTATAAATTCAGTGGTAACATTATGAATATTGTCTTATAAAAACCACATAAAATAGAGGTAATCTCCTCCCTACAGTGAAGTTGAAACATTCACAGAATAGTACTTCAGGAGTTGTGTCATTCCTATTTATTTATTATTGTGCTATGGCCTATAAAAGAACTGTATCTCCTCTGTTAGAATTATGCAGTATCCTAAGAAAAGCACCTTCAGTCCATTGTTGTATTCAGCCAGGATGTCAAATCTCTCAGGTTGAACAAAAGACTGCTTTGCTCATGATGACTGTGCCATTACTTTTTATTTGAGAGACTGCTTCTTTCTGATTATGTCTGCCTATGTCCAGCAGAACGGATATGTAACAGGTCCCAACTATTAATGAGTTATATGATTATATCTGGCAAGAGCTGGGAGAAATGTATTTTCTCTCATGGCACCTACCCTCTGGAACATCATTCCCCCTTAGGTGAGATTGGCGCCCTCCTTTATGCCAAAATCCAGAAAGCCCTTAAAATATGGCTGTCAATGCTGCTAACATCAGATGTTCTTGCTCTGACAACATATGGAGATGCAGCCATTTTCCTTTACTTTATGTTTGACTCTTAGAGTTAGAATTAGATGATACTGGGGGGGGGGAAGAATGTTCATGAGAGTTTAGTTAGACATAACAATACTGTATAAGAGTGAGAACCAAGGTTTTTTGACATAAGAGATGATAAGAAATGGCTGGTTAAAGAACTGGAGGGAAAGCCGGCATTTCAAACTAATTGGAGAATGTGATTTATGACGGTTAATTAGAGGAGGGAATTGTGCTTTGATACTATGTGCTCAGGGGAGGGGAATTCAGATTTTGGCTTGGCCTATGTATATGCGGATGCTATGCTACTTGAATAAAGATTCTCTAAGGTAAACAATGCCTCAAAGTTCTTTGAAGAGTTTCATCTGTCAGAACCATGACATTGGCTATATCAGCAGGTTTGGCAATCTGAGGGAAGTGGAGAACTGGTGAGATGGCTACACTATAATAATATCAAGATACTCTCTCCTAGTCTTGTTAATTAATACTTTTAATTTTTATAATAGTATTCATCCTTCTGAAAGCAGTACTTTTGTACAGGGAAGCACTTTTCCTTCTGATAAGCTGATATTATCCCATATGTTTTAGAAAGTTCAACTTTGTCCCTGTGTTGCTCAATCTGTGCTATTGCTGCTAGACTTTCAGGCTCAAGCCCAGAGGCGAGACAGCGAGATCCAATCATGTCCAATCCTTTATTTGCTTACATCTATTAGACAGATTTTTTTCCAGACTAAAGCTAAAACCTTCGAACTCAGGGGTGTTAAACTGCCGGCCCGCGGGCTGGATACGTCATGCTGAAACCACGCCCACCCCAACTCTGGCAATGGGAAAAAAGTCATGATATGGTGCGCCACATCACGTGACGTGGCGAGTTTGACACCCCTGCTCTAACTTAATAACTTCTGAGAGATTGTAAGGTATGGTTTCTCTGAACCTCTTTCCATCTCATCCTCTCTAGTCTGGAACTACACACTCTCTTGATCTGGGTCTCCCGCTGGGAAAGCTCTTGAGTTGGCCAACTCCTCCCCCACTGCTGCTGCAAGCGCACATTCGATCACACAGACTGAGCAATGAGTGCATAGAATACCTTCCAAATAAGAAATCCAGTTGGGCAATGCTAAGTCTTGCTTTCATTTATATTTTCATATCTGTGCATCAGTTCTTATACCAATTCTACAGAGGTTATTAAAACAAGGATCAGCAAAATATCCTTAGTATTCATAAAGTGATGCATTACCAAGTGTAAAAGCTATTCCCTATTTCTTCCACACACAAACTGTATCATATTAAACACAACTTTTATATATTTATATATATATTATGTATGATTATTTTGAATATGTGCCCTGTGTATAAACACAAAACGTTTCCATGATAATTTAGTCTTTTTAAATCTCCGTTAATGCAAGTATTATTCAAAATGGTCTTACCATCTTGGTTTACCAGTGAGGAGGTTAAACATATGACATCACCTACAATAATATCGGTGAGCTCAGGGGAGATGGCATGTTGGATAGGAAGAGGGACATAGTCTGCAATATTGTGTTCCGCATCCCAAACCTTAAGCAAACTTAGTCCAACATTCATTGTTCGAAGTACCAAAGTATTGTTAGAGGTCCCTTTCCCAACCTGTAAAAAATCATCTCTGTAAACAAAAACAATTTATTAAAATAAATAATAAATGAAATAAGTTATTATTAATAGTCAAGAGGACACAAGTGTGTGAATGTCGTACATACAAGACGATGAAAAGTTACATCACTTATACCTGTTCTAATGTGCTTTGGAAATGTTTTGCATTTGTTCCCAGTAGGCCAATTTTTAAGACAGTTTTTAATTCCAGTATGTACAGTGTTATACAGAAATTCAGCACACTATTACAGAATGTTTACTGTATATAAATATATACAGGATCAAATATCAGTCATGTATTAATTGCTTGTTTGGAGCCATTTACAGAGGTTGTTTGTCTAGGTTCACTTACAAATGACTGATACACTTGATCATATGTGTTTTTCTTGGAAGTACTATAAAACAAATGGGATGTATTCCAGCTAAATGAGTTTAATTACTATTAAAAGAAATTGGCATGAGTTTTAAATACACAATGCTGGTGCATTACCCCGATTTACAGGATTATGCAAATAATCTTGAAAAGATGCTTTGAAGCGCATGGTAATCTGAATATAACATTTGCCTTGAAAGTAGCAGTAGTTTTTCTGTCATGGTTGCCAAGTGGTCCTAGGTCAGTGGTGAATCTATGGCACGCATGCCAGAGGCGGCACTCAGAGCTCTCTCTGTGGGCATGCACGCCATTGCCCCAGCCCTGCCTCCCCTTATGTCCCCCTCCTCACCAGCAGGCCCCCAGAGAAAAGTTGCCTCCAAGTGTGGCCCACGCAGAGCAGCGCAGCCATGGATATGACAGCTGGGCAGCGCAGACAAGACCCCGCCCTCGCGAAATAGAGAGTAGACAGTGAATGTATTGAGTTGAGTTGTTTATTTATGTTTTTACTTTGGAATGTCTGATTATCCAAACACCACAGTGTGTCCTGAGTACTTTTTCTTAAAAATTAAAAAACCAATAAAATATTTTCAAAAAAAAAAAGACTCCGCCCTCATGTCCCATCACACACAGTTGATACTGTGTGGCGGAGGGCGCGGTTGCCATGGGTTGCTGGACCACCTGGGCAATCTGCAGTGGGCTGTGGAGGTAGTGGGTGGCCCTGCAAAGAGGTGGGATGGGGGCGGAGCAGGCAGGGCGGAGGGTAGAGCTGGTTTTTGGGCATTCAGTCTCTAAAAGGTTCACCATCACTGTCCTAGGTAAACGTGAGGCTGCTTTAAACACCTTAATGGCAAGTACTATGTTCATTTCCCCATACTCCAAAGCACCTTTCTGAAAATAAATCTAAAGCTCTGTCTGGTATTAATAAACTGAAAATGTTTTCCACCATATTTTTCAGTTTCTTCATCCAACTTATGGATGTTGGCCATACGATGATAGGACATTAACACATATACCATTCTATTGATATATATCACACACCTGACAATTGCCACAGAACAATCAAACTATCATCAGGTATCATAAATGATAATTAGAATGTTCTCTTTCATTGTGTGTCTTCACATAGAGCAGTGGTTCTCAACCTTTCTAATGCCGTGACCCCATAATACAGTTCCCCATGTTGTGGTGACTCCCAAGTGGGTGTGGCCACCAATAAGAGGGAGTAGGACAGCTAGGGAAAAGGGAAAAAATGGCAGACAGTGTGGTTTGGTGACCCCCGTGAAATGGTCATTTGACCCCAAATGGGGTCCCGACCCACAGGTTGAGAACCACTGACATAGAGGCTACGTAATAGTCAATCTGAAATGCTTTAGTAATGTTCACCTAATCTATGTTTCTAAACCAATTTATGATAATCAAATGCTGATCAAATTACCTGTTGACTGCAAAGTGAAGCATGGAATTTTGTGAGTGAAAAGTGTCTCCATAATTGTCATGGAAATGGATAGTCAAACTCAAAGTGATGCCCAAAGGTAATGCCAGTAAAGCTTCATGATTTTTTGTATGGAAAATTGGGTTCATGGATATTCTCAGGTAGGAAACAGGAGCTACCTACATGATACATTCAGTAAAAAATCGAAGGTGAAATCAGTTTTGCTATTGCTCAAAATACATGTAAGCAGTTATACTGTATATGATTATCTGGATTACTTTCCAACCTACTTATATGCATGCTTTTGATCTTACTATATTGTTTGGGATTTTAACCATTTCTCTCAGAAGTATGAGCTGATTGAAGCCAGTCCAATTTTTTCCTGTCTCATATGCAGCAACAAAAGGCATCTATCCCACCCTTTATTTAGAATCCAGGCAAAAATATATTTTCAACTTTTGGCAGTATACTACCACCAATGCAAATAATTATACTATTTGGTTCCTTTTTAATAATACAAACTCAAGTGCCTGAGATAGCCACCTCAGACTATCCAACTGCTTCATTTGTCCATATTTTAACCATTTAGGGATGGTTATTCAAGAAGCACTCTTCAGTTTCTTCTACTGTTATCATCCCCAAACTCTAAAGAGAATAATGTCAGTGTTAATTTCACTAAACTCTTAAGTCAAGGGAGTTACAAGTGTTTTATAAAAGGTCACGTTTGCTTGAAGACCTGAAAGATCAGGTTAGGGACAGATTATGCAGAAAAATCTATCTCTTGGGTTGCTAAGATTTAACACGAACTTTATGACATATAATGAATAAATGAACCAATCAATCAATCAATCAGCATTATCCAATTATATTTTCTAAACTCTTCTCACCACTTATATATTCTACAAACTTTATATGAGAAAGTAAAATGAAAACATTACTTTGTCATCCACTTTAAATGATTCAAAGGTTCAATTATTTTCTTGAACTGGAATAATGAGTTTTTTTAAAAAAAAAATATAGCAAAAAGCCTTGAGCAAGTTAGCATTCTATTATCATTGAAAGAAACTGAAACATAGTACCTTGACAGCAATAACAAGGGTCTGGTTGATTCCAAATGATTCTTGGGAAATTATTTCTATTGTTGATAGTCCAATCTGAGAATGAGAACTAAGATGACCACTTTCATCAATTTCTACCACAGGAACGTTGTCTTGACTATCCAGTACACGATAAGTTAAAGAAGCAGCTCCATCCCTTGATTTTTAAATAAATAAAAAATAAGCAAATAAGCAGGTAAGTAGGCTGTAGATCTCTGAAACTCAAATGCTAGAATTGAAAGAATAACAATACAAGATACATTCCCATTTCTTAGCACATTGTCTTGTTCTTATATACCTCCAAAGCATTTTTTAAATCTAAGATGGATTTGGAATTTATTTATTCATTTAGTAGATATATTTCTGTGCTACCAGACTCAAATTTTGGGAACTTACCAAGAATAGTTTAAAACACACACAATACAAAATACATTTATTTATTTTGTACCAAGTCTCCTTGTAAGCTACTTTATCTGAGGGCCTTTCCCCATTTCCATCTAAACATCATATTAACATGTCCTGGAAACTTCTTTATTTTGCTACATACTAACGACATTGCCTTATTTTGTCCCCTATCCATGAATTTAGCTATCCTTATCTCTCTTGATTTTAAAGTTTCCCATTAATCTAGGGGCAATCAGCAATTTTATCATGAGATATAATACTGGCTATCAGCTTCGCTGATTTAAAAAAAGATTGGATCAATTCATGGAAGTCAAGAAGATCAGTGCTTTGATGGCAGTATAACTGTCTCTGGAGAATTTGCCTGGAGACTAGTGGGCTTTCTTGTGCAGTTGATTGGCCACTGTGAAAACCCAGGGGTCCAATCCAACACAGTGCTTCTTATGTAACTAAGAGAGGATATTCTAATGCTTGTGGCTGATATCTGTTGGTGGAATAGTCTAGTAAGCCCAGGGAGAGAACTTGAGGCCTACTGCAGACATAGACTACTCCTATTGCCTACTCCTGGACAAATTTATTTTAGCACCAGTCTGTTTTTCTTCCAGGCAGGAAGAACTGAGCAGAGCTACCAGGTACCAAAGCTTTTGTAACTAATCAGCAGCTGATTGGTTTGTTTACTTACCTGTTCGTTTGAACTTTAAAAAAGGAGTTTGTTGACATTAATATCTGTCCTACTTCTACTCCCAGAATAACTAGTTTCTCAAACACCTAAAAAATAAAAATTAGATTAGTTACCGTATAAATAGGTATTTATGTTATCTTCAAATACTTACATAATAAAGAATGGAATGCACTGAGGCATTTATTTTAAAATGAAACACACACACACATACATACACACCCCTTTGCAGAGAGTTAATTCAGAATTACAAGGGACAAAATATATACTAGGTTTGCAGGAAAATATTTGTACTAAACCATGGTTAATCTCCCAAACTGACCATTTTTATAAGTTACAAGGTTTAGCAAAATATTTTTTTGTTTTTCTTTCAAATGATGCCCAGGATTATTAGGCAAGCAGTTCCCCATCTTTGGTAACAGGCTGAAAAAAATATTAGACAAAGAAAAGAAAACAATATGTGTTCTTGTGCATTCCACCTATTTTCTAATAGTTATTCTGGGAAAATGTAGTAACACACTAATGTTTAAGTGAATCAGTTGGTTTCATTACATTGTATATACCTTAAAACTTCATTTGAGCTAAATAATGAGATAACATTCAACACAATAAAAATGCTGCTTTGTTTTTATTTTAGATGTTACATAGGCATGAAAAGGCAACAATATGCATCTCTGCGGAGTAGAATGAGATACATGTCATTCCCTGTAGGAATTGTGAGAATCTCTGGGAATAAACTAGAAAGTATGCACAATAGCCTAAAGCATTATTCACCAACTTGGAATTTCCCAGATATATCAGGACTTTGTACTTCCTGGCAACAAACTCTGGGAATTGTATAGATGAAAGGTACTAGACTAAAAGTGATGGATTAAAGAAATGTCACTTCCAGATTACTTAATGGAGACAAATTTGATCAATGGAATGTAATAACAACACTTATGAACTTTGCAAAGTATACTTCCAAAATGAAACATCTGCATCCAGATAGTTGGTACTTGGGGAGGATTAAGCAGGAAGGGAAATAGCTAAATTGAATCAGACTCAACAATATTCCAGTTGTATTGCCCCTATTTGTTGCAAAAATGCTTCTTACTATCAGAATGACTTACAGACATCATTTTAAAAATGGCTGTTATTAAATATAAATGTATTTTTAAAATCCCAAGAAACAGCATATATAAAGTCCTTTTCAAACCACACGTACCCACTAAACAGAATGCAAAGTGGTATCATTTAAACATTTAGTTATAATTATTTATAGAAGCTTCTGCTTGCAAACAATTGTCTCTGAATATGGTGGTGTTTCTATGTGAATATATACATATAAGCTTATACAGCAATTTTTTCACTTTTATCTATTTTTTGGCATATACTGTAGATCAGTGGTTCTCAACCTTTCTAATGCCGCGACCCCATAATACAGTTCCCCATGTTGTGGTGACCCCCAACCATTTATACACCACCAGGTGCCAGGGGCGTGGCCAAAGAAAAGGGGGAAAAATGGCGGACAGCCTTGTTTGGCGACCCCCGTGAAATGGTCATTCGACCCCAAATGGGGTCCCGACCCACAGGTTGAGAACCACTGCTGTAGATGTTATTATTCTGACCGTAGATGCAATCTTGGTATTTTGTTTCTTATTATTTATTAAGCTTATTCCCAGGTTTGTCATGATGCCATAGTTCAAAAAGGTAATTACTAGGCAAAGATCTGTACCAGAAGTCCAGGTTCCCCTAGGACTGCCAGACAGTAGAAGAAAAACTGAGATAAGAATTGGATCAGTATTGCCTAATATACAAAGTGCATTCTTTAAAAGAATTATATTTAAACTTTTGAACATATTTAAGACCTCAAGCTATTCTGCTGGCTCCCCTCCACACCCCTTCCTAAAGTAATTACTTCAAGAAACTATGTGCTGCAAGTTACTATGTATCCTCAGGAAACCTTATTCCATCTAGATAATTCGCATGCACATGATTTAAAGCTGTGATAATGTGCACTAATTGTTCAGTTGATAGAAATCATTCAGCATATATTTAATCTTTATAGCCAACTTTAATTATTCAAGTTCTTTAGCTCTCAGAAAATGCCATTCATTTATTTCAGGGTAATCCTAAACACAATTGCTTCAAATTAGATTCAATGAGGTTACATTACAGTAAGTGTGCTAAGTATAATTTGACTACTTTCACAATAGATAGTTTGTTTTAAAATTGGAAAGTTATTGCCAATATTATTGCATTAACTGTGAATATCTAAAACATAGGAATTTTGCAGTAATCCTGATACAGAATGATTAAACTCTTCTCTGTGTCTACCCTATATCAAAAGAAACTAAAATTCAGTATCAAAAGAAGTAAATTTTGAAGTTTGCAGAGTATTCAATTTTTAAAACTGCATTTTTTATTTAAATTTATTTGTATTTCCTCTAATCTGACAGAAAGTCAAGAAAGGTCAGCTAACCCATCTCTAGATGTATATAGCTCTTCTGGCTTTTGATATTAGATTAGATATACTTCTCAGTTTATCACTGAAACTAACCAAAAGGTTTCAGATGCTCATGACAATGCAGGTAGTCCTCAATTTACATCCATTCTTTAAGTGACCACTAAACAGCACTGAAAAATTAACTTAGGATCATTTTTCATACAACAATTGCAGCATCCCCATGGTCACGTGATCAAAATTGAGGAGCTTGGCAAAAGGGATATGTTTATTGACAGCTGCACTGTTCTGTGGTTATGTCATCACCATTTGTGACTTTCCCAGTCAGCTTCCAGCAAGAAAAGTCAATGGGGGAAGCTTAATAATCGCATGATTAACTTAACAACTGCATTTGCTTAACTTCTGTGGCAAAAAACATCTGTTTTTCATACTAATTTTAGCAACTTTCTATAAAGGAATAAGAATGTTTAAACTACAAGATTACCAACATATTACCTGTATTTGAATTTCATCTGTCAATTCTTTTGCCATGTGAGAGAACTGTCCAGCTGAAGGATCAAGGACTTTCACAACAACTTTCAATCCTGTTTTCCCTTTCACTTTCCCATAAACATCCACCGCAAAATTATTTTCCACTGAAAGCTGAAGGGAAGCCTGAAAGAAAAAAGTGTTGATTTAAGTTGGGTAGAATTCCATTCAGTATCTCAGGGCTGATAATCTCCCTTTCTGTTAAAAAAAAATAGTCTTCCAATGAGTTCTTACAAAAGATTTATTAGAAACCACTCTAGAATGCACATAGAAATCAATATAAGAATCACAGAACTGAAAGTAGTTTCCTGCTAATGTAGGAAAATCCTTATTACAGCAACTTTTAGGATTAGATCCAGAGATAGTTACATTATTTCCAAATTTCTCCTTTCTATTATAATTTTGTGGGTGGCAGTTTCAATACCTTGAGATGCCAAAGCGGAGAAGATTGTTTTATATCAAAGCAGATACCATGTTTTATACATCCACTGCTGAAAAAGACAAATTTTCCCCCAAATCACATTCTATGAAACATTAATTCCAGAAAAGTTGTAAAAAATTAAATCATAATATAGAATTAGCATTTACCTCACTGAATCTTGACTTGACATCCAAGATATCTCTTGTAGTCACAGACCAATAAAACTTTAATCCTGGCACTGCATTTCCAAATGAAAAAGGGGTCTGATTGCTAGCAATGCCCATCACATATACTGGCATCTGGAAAAAGAAAAGAAATGAAGACTAACTTAAGGAAAACTTTTCTCCTTTTCAAGGGATATGACATATTATTTTAAAAAAGGAAAAGATTCAGATTAGGTGAGTATTAAAGTGGTTCAATGAGGCCCAATCATATTTGACTATTGCAACAGCAGAAATAATGTCATACCGAAATCATGTCATACTGAAATAGTGTTATACTTTGATTTACCTGAGTTCCAGTTTTCATTCGGGTAATAGGTGCATGGATTCTGACAGCTTCAAGCTGAATTACCTCAACTTCAACTTTATCCTAACGGGAACATCAGAAATTATTATACCAATTGAATTAATTGTGCTGTAATTGTGCATACTCCTTCGTATTTGTTCACATTCCCCATCTGAATCTGAACATTAGAAACTGCAGTAATTATTTATTAAAAGTCATTCCAGCTAATTTTACATTGTTGATATATGGCACTCAAGGTGCCCCACAAAACAATTCAAAATTATAAAAAGTGAATGTGTGGGACAACAGATCAAATCAACCAACCATCTAATCTATAACATAAAAAATAATAAACATAAATCAAATAACACAAAAGAACGAAGGGAACAACCAAGAGAATCAAATAATTTATTCTAAGCCGGGGTGTCAAACTCAATTTCATTGAGGGCCGCATCAGCATTGCCATTGCCCTTGTGGGGCTGGGTGGGTGTGGCCAGGGTGGGTGCGGCCTACTGGGTGGGCGTGGATGGAGTGGGTGTGGCCTACTGGGTGGGCATGGCCAGTTCTACATCGTTTGCATCAAGGGTACCTGTGGGGGCCTGGGCAGGAGTGGGACATATCTGAGGGTCTCTGGCAGAAGGAGGTGGGACCGGGGCAAGCGCCAAAGCATGCTGCATTTCTTCATTCCTCACAAAGGGTGACACCTCCCCAGCATACACCCAGGGGCCAGGGCCAATGCGGCAGGGGCTGGTTCCTTGCTATTTCTGGACAGCCTTGTGGAGTTAAGACTGAATGCATTTCAGCATAGATGGCCACCACAAAATTGTACATTGGCTCCCGGCTGGCCTGGGCCAGGGCCAAGGCAACAGGGGTCGTTCCCTGTTTCCAGGATGGCTTCGTGGGCCACATGAAACCACTTCGCGGGCCGCATCCGGCCCCCGGGCCTTGTGTTTGACATGTCTGTTCTAAGCTATAGAGATGCCCGATATAGGTAAATGCCATTTTTTTCTTCTGGGATCTTGGGAATTATAATTTCCCTTTTGAAATTAAAGTAAAACATCTTGTATTGTTAATCTAAAGCAGGCATGTCAAACTCAGGATGTCATGTGATGTTGCACAACATATTGTGACTTTTTCCCCATTGCCGGCAATGGGGTGGGTGTGGTTTCAGTATGATGTATCCGACCTATGGGCTGGCAGTTTGACATGCTGGGATTAGCAGTTTCAGTCTAACTTTTAATTTTTTATAGCTCATTTCTGCACTGAATTAGAAAAATAGTAAAAAGACTTAAAGCCTAAGTGAGATACAACACAATTGTATCTTTGTCTACATCATTTCATCATTGATCATGTCTACCTTTGGCACTAAGGCTTTGAACACAGTGATGTATCTAACTAGTCCATGTCTCTGAGCTCATAGTTTCCCATTTATTAAGTACTGTATTTGTAAATAGACCGCATATGGCACATCTACCAATAATTTTCTGGAATCCATTCTTCATTTTAAAATGATAAGAGGTGCTTACAAAACTTTTCATAAGTTCAGAGGCATTATATATATACATATATCAAGATGTTACCTGGGATGCAACTACAACCTTGCCAGCTTCTGCATAAATTGCTTGAACCACTCCCAGTATGGTACTGTTCCCCACTGCTTTGCCAGTTATAAAGCCACTGTTGTTTACGGAAGCAATGCTGGGATCATGGATGGAAAAGATTATGTTGAACTGAGGCTGTGGTCCTCCCTCAGAAGTAATCTGTGGTTAATTATTTAAAAAATAAGAATTACTTTCTAATTTGTTTTCAATTTATAGATTGAATAAGATCTGGTAACAGGTACTTATAATTTAATAATACAACAGATGCAAATTGAGGTTTTTAGTGATACAAAGCTGTTAGTCATTACGTTGTTCTTTAAAGAGGACAGAAGAGGAAAAGGCAGATTATTAAGCACATAACACAACATAATACAACTCACCCTTGCCCAACTGTATGCTTTCTAGATTCCAGGTCCCCCCCCAATATCTAAAGTTACCAAGGCCTTGGACATGCGTGGAGTTATGTATGCATACAGCAAGCATTCAGATACATCTAGCAAGGAATATTTTTAAGTGACGCACTGAAAGATTGAGAATGAGTATAAAATGCTTGTGGTTTTCTTTTATTTATCTGGATTTAGATTTTCAAGATCAAAGTTATTTATTAGATTTCTCTGATGAATTTTCTTTTCTTACAAAATTCCAATCTACAGATAGTCCCCAACTACCGCAATTGGGACCAGCAACACTATGGCTAACCAATGTGGTTATAAAGTGAAGGGCCAAGTGTGACTGTGCCAGCTTATGATGTCCATTCGAGCTGCAATAAGATAGTCACTCGCAGTCATTAGTGTGATGTTACACAGACTTGTGACTTTCTGCTGGCTTCCCCATTCACTTTTCTTGTTAGAAACTGGTTCTGAAATTCACAAATGGCAATCCTATGCCTGCAGGATGCTGCAAATGTGTGCTAATTGCCAAGTGCCTGAAGAGTGATCATATGAACGCAGGGACACTTTGACAACCACAATTTTGAGGACTAGTTGTAAGTCTCCTTTTTCAGTGCTGTCATAACTTCCAACAGTTCTTGAGCTAGTGGTAGGTAAGTGAAGACCACCTATATATTGAATAGTTATTGGAAAGGCTTGAAAAATGTTTTCAAGAGGTTTTTAAGTTTGATGTGTGTGGACTCTGAGCATAAGGCAGCTAAAAATCTGGAAAATGATGATTTTTTTTTAGTTGTAACATTGCCTTATCAAGAAATTGCTCTCTACTGATCATTCAGTTTAAGAATTCTGGAACCTGTAGGAACCAAGCCTTTGGAAATTACCAAATTGGTAAAGTTGCTACCCAGATAGATGGAAAAACCACACTTTGAGGAATAAAATTATGATTACTTTCTATTAATGCACACATTAATTTCCCTTTTAAGAAATAATTAGTTCAGCATAATAATTTAAAAACAACTTACTTGAATCACTGCACCTATGAGTAAGGTGACTTTTTTTGGTATCAGTTTAAAAGGAGGAAATACCTAGAAGTAGGACAAGAATGAATATTTATCTATAAAGTTGGAATTCAACTATTTGGAATGACGTAACAATTTTTATTTGAATGTTCCTTCTTGCTCTACATGTTCAATTTTTCTTCTATAGTGGCATTCTTTTATCTTTTTAAATCTCTGCACTCAAAGCAGCCTGCCATTCCCCCTTCTGCCCTGTCATTATCTTTCTCTTAAATTTTCCTACCTTGAAAAGCATTTTAGTGTTTTTTTTCCCCTTGTTTGTGGCTGTGTTCTGACAATTCCATTCCTTGTTGCCATCTTTTCTTTCATTTTAAAGTTATTTTATTATCCCCAATTCTATTGCAACAACTTTGGAGCTTGACCATTTTCACAGCATTTATCTTATTAATCCTCAGCTTCTTTTTGAACTATTATCTCAAGTGCATTTTCCTCTACTTTCTCCACCCTCATCACTGCCCAACATTCAGTCCCATGCCCTCCTTTGTTTGGATCAGCGCAAAGCAAAGCAAAAGAAGGCTCTGATGCTTATTAAAATAATCAATAATATCTTTTCTTATTTATCAAGCTAAGTGCATAGCATTACTACATCAATATTTCTGCCTAATGATACTGATATTTGTCCATTAAAATAATTTTGCTTTCAATTTTTAAAAATCATTTTGAGTGATGAGCTTTTCTGGCTGAGAAGCATCTTTATAAAAAGTCATCCTAAAAGCATTCATAGTTAACAGTGAATATATTTACTTCAATCTGTTGTGGAATTGAATAGATCTTTTCACCATATCTGTCAGTGACAACTCCTGTAACACTGGTTTGACCTATGGCCATGCCATGCACTAGAAAAACAGCTGTGTATTCATCAGAAGTTTCATCAAGGGCTCTGCAATAATAAAATGCATGAATAGCAGAAAACTGAATGTGCCTTTAGAAGCATTAAAGAGCAATTGCTTCAATTTAATTCAATGCAGAATTTTCAGTTGTGTCCATTTGCAATGATGAGCTGATAACATAGTAAGAAATATCAACAAGACAATATGATGAGCTGTATGAAACAATGTAAGACAGGGGTCTTCAAACGTGGCCTGCCTAGCTGAGGAATTCTGGGAGTTGAAGTACACAAGTCATAAAAGGGCCAAGTTTGAAGACCCGTGATGTAAGACATGGAAAAAGATAAGCAAAAATATATAGGTAGCCCTTGCTTAATAACCACAATTGGGACTGGCAACTCTGTCATTAAGTGAGACATCATGTGACTGTGATGGACTTATGACCTCACTTCCGCTGTGGTTAAGCAAATTTCCATGTGATTGTTAAGCAAAACATTGCATGACTGTGACTTGTGATTTTCCTGCCAGCTTTTCTATCAACTTGGCTTGTTAGAAGCCAGCTGTGAAGCACTGAAATGGTGATCATGTGATGTTGTGACAGTCATAAATAACCACTGCTGTTTTTCTATAGTACTTAAAGCAGAGTATAATAAATGAACATAGCACTTACTTTAAGGAAATAATCTGAGATGCTGCTTTTAGAGTTAAGTCCATGAATTTGAAGTTTTTACTGTGAAAGTATTTCTTCGAAGCATCCAGCACTCTGACATATGCTTTAACATTTTTGCCAATTTCTACCTACAATATATGTTTACAGAGTTTTGTATGTCAATTCAAGCAATACATTCTGTTTATCTGTAGCTTAAAATATTGTGCACCATGATCTGTCTACTAGTACAGAATTACTGCAATCAAAGTGATTTCACTATCTCTTAGCAACTGTAGATTGCAATCAGACTTGCTTCTATGTCAGCTTCCTTAGACATACTGACTATATCTACACCATTCACAGTCAGTATAATCCCCAGTTATCATTCTAGAATAAGCTGTGGGATAATTCAAGGCTGGGAAGGAAGCTCCCCAGCCATAATGTAATAAAGGCACTATTTTATTTATTTACTGTATATTCCTTTGTTATTTTTAAAGTCAAGGCAGCAAACATAGGAATACAACTTCCTTCTCCTATTTTCCCCACAACAGCAACTCTTTGAGAGAATTGGGCTGAGATAGAGTGACTAGTCCAAAGTCACCCAGCTAGCATTCATGGCTAAGGTAGAACTAGAACTCACAGTCTCCTGGTTTCTAGTCTGGTAGCTTAACCACCAGACCAAACTAGCTAAACATACTAGTTCAGAGGTCCCCAACCTTTTGGGCACCAGGGACCAGTTCTGTGGAGAGAGGTTTTTTCCATGGACCAGAGGGGGTGTGGTTTCATGTACTGCCTGCATCCCGCGGACAGGGCTTTCCTTGCTTGCACGGCCTAGTTTTTGGCATGCTACGGCCTGGTGCCGGTCCACAGATTGGAGGTTGGGGACCCCTGTACTAGTTGAACTTTTGAACTGCATTTTATTTAGTTACCTTAGGCTTATCAAGTACACTCCTTATGTCAAGACAAGGCCAGTTAGTTGCTTGCCATTCCCAAACTATGCTCCATGACTCTGATTGCATCATTGAAATTTGGCAGCAAAATGGCAATTTTTGCTAATTATATTTTTTTATCCTCCCCTTTTCCTTTATAGAAATAAGACTATTCTCAATCCTCCAGGTCATAGTTACCCAAAGGTGCTTTTCAAAAGGCAACTGGACTTCCTTGCTCTTTTTTCCTTGAAAATGTTTCACTTCTCATCCAAGAATTTTCCTCAGTTCTGACTGAATGATGAGGGGTGCTTTTTTGAGAAAACCATTCCCATCCCCCCTTTTAAATTAACTCTAAATTGTGCTATCAAAATTCAGGGGAATGGGTTAGGGTAGAAAATGGGTTAAGTCTGCTTCAAAGAGACCACAAACTGAAATGTGTGCCCAAGTTGCATGAGATTCTTAGGCCCATGTTCAAACAATAACTTGCCAACATTTATCAGAATTCTGACTTACTGTAGCTGTGGAAAAAAAGCCATTAACACTGCTTTCATTTGCAATATGTTAATATATATATCTAATTAACTATAGATCTGTTACATATTTTAGACACCTTAGAAAAGTCTTGGTTGTTATCAGTAGAACAGAATATGATCTAGAAGTATTCAAAGTGCTCTCAAGTCCTTGGTGCCCACTGAGCTTGATTGTTTTCTTGTCAGCTTTTATTACCAAACTGATGACATGGTGACATCATAAGCTGGTAATGAAATGTCTTCAATAAAACAACCAAGCTCAAAGAGCACCAAGGACCCCACAGTTCAACCTGAGCTAAAAATATTCTTTTCTATCGGTATTCTTAAATGTATTCCTTGGAGCAAAATAAATCATAAATGAAACTTCAACCACTTGCCTATAATGAATTAATCTTGAAGAATCTTTGAGTAGAATATTTTTTCTCCAGCAGTAAACAATATATCAAATCATTCACTTAGAACTGAATACTAACCTTATCAACAATTCCAACATATACTTCTTGTATATTAGAAACATACACCTCAGTTTTAGCAATGGTGGAAGATGCAAGACACAAGTCATGTATCATTACAGATACTGACCCTGGATATAAGGGATATATCTAAAATAAAGAGAGGAAAATGGAATCAAATGTTATTCTTATCTAGTTATTGTGACTACTCTTTACTTAAAGTTATTGTGCTTCAAGCAAATAATAAATGGTAAATAACAGTGACAAAAGAAAATTGTGCAATTAAGATTAAGGAGAAAATTTTTCCACAGAAGGAGACACTGCTCTTTCCAAATGAAATTTTAAAATATATCCGAGGATTAGCCTGCAGGTAACAATTGCATTCAGGTGCATCTAATGCAACTATTAGCCTCCAGTCTTATATTCCTTTTTGGAAACAGGACGAGAAAAACAAAACAAATCTCGGCGAAAAAGGATCTTATAAATAAGTCCTTAAAAGCGAGTATTCAGACTGAATTTAAGGGAAAAAAAGAAAGAAAGCATCTGTACTGCTGAGTATTTTATTCTTAATGACACTACATAAACTGATGGTAGCTTATCTTCCAGAAGAACAATTTCATTTTCAGTGAAAACTTTTAATCATAATGCCTTTTTGTCATATATCTCAAGGTATTGCAATTTTCTGTAATGTCTTCAATCCATTTCTTATAGCTTTGGCTGTCACTATCTTTGAGCTCACACATTTTCTGAAACCATCTAAAGCAGATATCCTATGAAAGTCTGACATTTTGTAAAGGGTTTAGTCTAATTTCATTACCTAAACTCAGGGAATTTCAAAAGCCATACAAGCAATATGATTTATCAATTGATTTAGCTTTACAGTATTTCTATTTCATGCTGCAAAATATATTATTTCTAGAGCTGCTCACATCAGCAGAGAGCAGTGGGCAAGGATGATCTCTGTCTTCAAACTTAAAACTCTCACGCTTATCCACATATAAAGCAAATTACATAAATAAGGAGGTAAAAACATGAAAGAACAGAAATTAATTTGAAGAATGTCAGACTGAATGGTGAATTGTTAGTAATTAATCCTGTTTACTCAATATGAAAATAGTCACACTCAAGACAGAATTTTACTTTGCTGAATATAAGTCTAACCCTATTTTTATGTGGTGGAGCTCTTACATGTTTACACAAAAATGCAAATAATATAAGTTTAGGTATTTCCAAGGTCAAAATTTATATTTAATCTAAAATAATTCAGCTAGAAGCAGATAATTGTTAGTTCACTTTAGTAGGAAATGATTATTGTAGTACTTAGAGAAATTGTTTTTTTTTTTTAAAAAAATAATAATTTATAAATTGATGTGCTACCTGTCTCCCCTGCTACTGAAGTATATTTGGCTAGTCTACCAAGATTTTAAACAGAAAATTCAAATAATTATTTATTTAACTAATATATATAAATGTAGTTATATATTTAATTACCAAACCAATTTATGCAGCTAGTATGCTTCTTTATTTATTTATTCAGTGTCATTTATTCATATATAAGAAAAGATAGGAGAATTTCATTCTTATATAATGCCATGCATTTGTAAAGTTTTGATATGATCATGAAATTAAGGAAATAGAGAAAAAACAAGAAATTTGGTTAAGAAATTAGAATTAATATCAGGAATGTGTGAAGCCAATGTTTCATGGAGCTCAATTAGCTTAACATAGATAAAATACGAGCTGCATTCATTGTTGAAATGTAAGATGATTATTCTGGAGAGCATATCAAAATACATTGGCATTCATAAATATAAATATATAAATGCATGTTTTGTGAAAATAGAGGTATCAGAATGATGAACTTGTTACTAGAACCACATGTTCTAGAATCTACATTTTCCAGAGTGGTTTCTCTCATTATTATTTTAATTTCTTAGAGTTATAACTTGATCAAACTAAAATTATACAGAATATAGTTGAAAGCCCATCAGACCATTAAGAGACTGTCCCTATTCACCCCAGTAGATAGTGTGTGTGTGTGTGTGTGTGTGTGTGTGTGTGCGCGCGCGCGCGCTTGCTTTCAAGTCTGGCAGTTGCTGGCATAAGCCATACAGTTTTCTTGGCAACATTTTGGGAGGTGATTTGCCATTGCCTTCTTCCTAGGGCTGAGTGTGTGTGAGACTGGCCAAAAGTCACATAACTGGCTTCATGCCTTAGGCAGGACTAGAATTCACAATCTCCTGTTTTCTAGCCTGGTGCCAACTAGAACTAACCTGTTACTTTAGCATTAGCACTTAGACTTATATATTGCTCAATAGTGCTTTACAGCCTTCTCTAAGCAGTTTACAGAGTAAGCCTATTGCCCCCAACAATCTGGCTCCTCATTTTACTGACCTTGGAAAGATGGAAGGCTGAATCAACATTGAGTTGGTCAGGATCGAACTGCTGGTCTGCAATACTGCATTCTAATCATTGTGCTACCATGGGTCCTTTAAGAATGTTTCTCACAGAGCTTTCTTTAAAGAAAGCAGAACAGACTTATGTGTCTTCTTACTATCCTAACTGATATAATTAAGTGATAGTGGACTCTTATTCCATGACTTCTGTAAGTTTTTTATTTCTAAGATCACTTGATTTAAAGTTCTTCTAATACACTTTACAAAAACCAGATTTTTAATGGTTTTTTAATAATAAATAAATAAATTGCATAATAAATACTTACCAGAGCAATGTCTTTACCTTCTTCATATACTATTTTAACAATGTCAACGATGCTGGTGTTAAGAAAAAAATATCCAGAGCCTCCATTAATAATCAGTTCAGCCTGTGAACAGAAGTACATTTTAGAACACTCACACTGAGATATCAGTTATTACACACATTACACACACAGATACAAACACATAGACCTACCTTAATTGCCTGATGATTATAAATAGTCACTTCTTTAGGACTCATTTTAACATCTTCCACAAGTATTAGTTCAATACCTGCATTTACAGGTAAAAGAGCTTCATACTGTAAAGAGGAAGCAAGAAAACAAAGCAAAATAGATATTGAAGGTGATAACAATATGGAAGAATGATTTAGAAAAGTAAGCTAGAGTGGTACCAGTGGAGTAAAGCATTGGACTAGGATTGGTGAGACTCATATTCATGTCCACCCCCAACTATGAAACCCACTGACAAACTTAGTACCAGTAAGAAGCTCAATCTATCTCACATATTTTTGCTGTGGGAAAAATAGGAGGAAGTGCTATGGACATCAGCCTGAATCCTGAAGGAAAGTTGGGATATAACTCTGTATGTGGACAGCGAAATACAAGCTTTGTCTGCAAAGTGTTCCAAGTATAACCTGGAAAAATCATTTTCCCTGTCAACAGTACTGAACAACATGAACTAGTCACCTGACTACTTATAAGGTTCTTTTCAAATTTTTGCTATGACAATCTGGATCTATCATAACAATGAAGTTAGAATGTAGGATGGATTTGGAGTTATTAATTCAAGTTTACTCTATAGTCTTACATGCAGGATTTTCTTACATGCAGGATGGAAGCCCCATAGTTCATATAAATTGGAAAAATATGTCTACTGTTCTTCAAAGAAAAAAATTATAATAAGCAGGAACTTGGCCTGTTGAAATGTTAAGCAATGATGTTCTGACTGTTTTCAAAACTTGGTGTTTTCAGTGTTTTCAAACCTCAGAACAAGAATACGGATACAGTACTTTCCAGTATATTTTCTTGAAAGATTAGCCATGCCAATACATTCAGGGAAAATGTATGCTACTGCTTAGAGGCATAACAGTAACAAATGTTACACCTTACCTTAGTTCTATAATACCTCTTATTCCTTGTATTAAAATTGAAACTTAAATGCACTAAATATAATGTAAAAAGTATATAAACATTATTAAATCTTCAGGATCCAATCTGGGTCAGTCACCAGACCAGAGGTTTAGTCTTCTGAGCTTTCCTGCTTGAGCCCATCCTCAGGGAACTTCTCTCCCACCAGAATGTTTATATTTGCCTCCATTCATTATTATGTCTATTTGTTTGCCTTTTTTTGTTTGTTTTTAAACGTCCTCCTCTTTTATTTAAAATTATTATTTTTTAATTTATATAGCATAACTCAATACATGCCAACACTACATTTCCCCCGGACCGCATCTGGAGTGAGAGGATAGAAGAAGGTGAGAAGTAAGTAGGAAGGTGGAGGAGAGGGGGTGAGTGAGAAAGAGAAAGAAGAGGGAAAGAGGCAAGTTGGTTAGAGGATGGATGCGGTTTGGGGGGAAATGGGTGAGCAATACCGAAAATGGTGTGTATTAATTTGTTTTATTTTTTATCTGAAGTATTTTTAAGAATGTAATGTATTGTAAAATTGAAAATAAAAATTTTTTACAAAAAAAAAAAAATACATGCCAACACTGCTTAAGAAAAAGGCCCAAGAAGAGGAAGAGATAATTTCAAAGTCCTGCTGGTTTCACGAAATCACTTTGCAGAATGTATTTAGAACTTTTGAGGATTATAATTAATATGCTATACGTAAAAATTCAGACTGAACAATTTATTCTTTTCCCTAATAAAAACAATAATATTTTCTTTATCAATAGCTATACAGGTAGTCCTTTACTTACAACAGTTCATTTAGTGACTGTCTGAAATTACAACAGCACTGACAAAGTGATTTATGACCATTTTTTACACTTATGACATTGCAGGATCCCCATGGTCACATGAACAAAATTCAGACACTTAGCAACTGACTCTTATTTATGACGGTTCCAGTACTCTGGGGTCACGTGATCACCTTTTGCAAGTTTCTGACAAGCAAGGTCAATGGGGAAGCCAGATTCACTTAACAAATGTGTCATTAACTTAACTGCAATGATTCACTTAACAACTGTCTCACTTAGCAACAGAACTGTTGGGCTCCATTGTGGTCATATGTCGAGGACTATACTGCTTATGGTTAACTCTAAAACTACAAACTGTCAGTTTTTTGATAGTTGAACCTTCTTCAGGTTAAAGCTGCATTCACAGTAAAATATGCGAAGAACAATTTAGGGCTACCAAAAAGAATAATGAAGAGGAGGATGGATTTCAAAGCTAGAAAAACCATTTTAGTATTTTGTTTTACTTCTAAGGGTCTGGATTATAATGCTTTAGAATTATACTTTAAAATACAGTATACTAACATTGCATTAGGAAATGGATATAGAAAATATATCTTATTGGGGCAGTAATCTGAGGGAAAAAGGTATTACCGGTTTCTTTACTTGATTGGTAATCAAATGAACATGCTGATAGCCAACTGCAGTAGCTGATATTATTGTTGCTCCTGGTTTATGATGAACTAAAACAGTTTGCAGACCTAAAAAAGGGCAGAGAAAATTGGAAAGCTGTGCATACTGCTGAATAAACCATCGGAACACAGGACCATAGCAATAAAGTAGCCTTCAAAATTACACAGCCTCTCACCCCACTCTCCCATTTTTTAAATATTCTTAGAAAAATATGACACTTCTTTCAAATAGTTTCTTGGATCTATGAACAAATTTTCATTCCAGGAACCAAGGACTGGTAGTGATGGAATACCTAGTGATAGTATCACAAGGAAACTGAATTAATATTTGGAAAAAATGTGAGGGAACGGTACCTTGCATTTTCTTCTGACTGTTTCCATGATCTTTCATAGAAAGTTCCAAAGGCATTCTGGACTCTATGCTAGCTAGTAAATGTTCTGTTGATTCCCAGGTTATAGTAAGAGAACTGAAATTGTCAAATTTATGGCCCTGATGATTATAAACTTCTAGCTCCAATACTGGGTTGCGGAAAATTGAAACAGGAACCTAGAAGATAATTATTTTGTTTATAAATATGAAAAATATCTTTAAAAATACACATGCATCTGAGCACACAAAAATGATGCACAAGATCAAAAACTGGTCATATTCTACTATATTGAACAATCTGTTACTAGATCTTTAAATATTTCAGCAGGATTTTGGAATGCAGCTATAGAAAGGCAGCTTTCTGGTGCTGCTAAAATATCTAAAAGGTACCTAACTTGCAGGAGAATGGCTGGGACTATACTACATATTACATTTTCTCTCCTGCAAGATATTTCTCATTTCTCCATACAGTTCCAGAATAGATTTAAGATGTGAAAGTGCAGAGGGCAAGGAGAATAAGATCCACAGATATGGCTGGAACAACTGAATACAACTATATGTGTTGACACATTTGTTATCCCAGGTCTTGTGAACAGGATTTTGAAAGCATCACAAAAGCTAACCCCAACCTCATTCCAAAGTATTATGGTGGTGTGTGGCCAAATCATTTTCCTGAAGACAAGTTCATAAAGTTGCTTTTCTCAATCTCCCTGGATATTGTCTACCACAATAGCTTATTTTTCTCCAGGAAAATTGGGAGCCTTCCAACCAAAGAATTGGACAAAAAATATTATCATTTTATTTCCAAAATATATGTTGGGCTCTTCTGTAGCAGTTCTTATAAAAATGTTAAAAGGTAGGAATTAGCAATGTATCAGCTTCCTCTCTGTCTGTCCTATATCAGTAAAAGCACATTAAATAAATTAGGCAGATCAGACAGGATGGTAAGTACCAAAAGAAGTATTTGTAATTACTACATTGTCTTCCCCCAATTCATGCCTACCCCTTGTTTGTCCTGATGAATAAAGGGACAGGAAACATCCAGCTCAGGATCTGCAGATACAAGTGCCAAAGAAAACCGAGAGGGAATGGCACAAATCAATGTCACATCAGCTGATTCAACAGCTGGAAAGGGGTTGGTTGCAGTGGGCTTGTTGCCAATTGTTACTGAAATTACCTGCATAAACATTGGTGAGAATAAATAATAATAATAAAAGTTTGTACATAGCAAAACACTTCTTTTTTATGCAATACTGCTTAATACAGATCATTAAGGTTGAGTTTTTGTTTCAGTAATAGCCTGAAATGTTGACATATAAAGATGTATTATTCTGGCATTTATTTTCAAAAGCACTTCTAGTTTATTAGCAGAGGGCAACTTTATTGCTCTTTTACCCACTTCAATACTGCAAAATAAAATTAAGTTTTTAGGATTTTGAAACAGATGGCTGATTTTTAAGAAGATAAGTGGCATGTGCACATATAAGTGATTGCTTCAAGAGATGCCAACTATCGTATTTTAATGAAAGAATGTCTTTATGGGCAGAAAAAATATTCTCATATTTACTGCTTATTCCAAGTAAATTTAGATTATATGAATACTCAAGGTAGAATTTTCCTTACAGTGCATTAACAATACTTAAAAAGAAGTTTAATGCAGCCGAATGAGGTTGTTATGAAACTATTTTCTTTTAATTGTTGTATTCATGCCTAATACTTGACTTCTAACATCATAATTTATTGAATGAACCGTACTGGCCTGCTGAATTGTTCATAATAAGAGAGATTAATTTTTCACAAAAAAAAATCTTATTGATGCTATGTTTCCAGATTCTATTAAAGTTAAAGACTGTATGCTCATACGATCATCAAGCTTATTCTATTAGATTTTATTTTTAGAAGGAAGTGATAGTTATGGATCAGTAAGAAACAGTGAATGTCAGGTTAAAAAAAATTGTGTTACTCTTACAATAAGGTTAGATTATCATTGATAATGATCAGAATCTACAACCTTGGGTTATTGTGGCTGTTGCCTTCTGGCAGAAGATAAAGAACATTTAAAACTCGGACCACACGTTTTCTGAATAGTTTTTATCCCAGAGCTATAATTGCACTTAATAATGAACTAAAGGGCCACCATCAGTGAACTGTTGGACAGTATTACTTGGTCTATTGGGTGGATGTTTGAGCGATTTTAGGGGTGGGGAATTGTGGTGGGTGGGAGTGTGTTTGGGAATTATGTGTGTGGGACCTGGTCTTTGAGTGTAACATAAATTTTGTTGTATGTGTATACTGTGTATGCACATACAATGACAATAAAGTTTATTATTATTATAATCCAACTCTAGCAGCATAGGAAATGGACGGAGAAAGGAATTGGAAGTTGTTCAAGGAATATAAATGAGCGGAATCCCCCCCCCCCAAAAAAAAACACCCTACCTAAATTGTCTTCCTCATGTCAAGCAATTTTTACAAAAGAAAAGAAAGAAAATTCCTGTGCGATCTAATTGCTCTGGCAAAGAAAGCAAGCAAGAGTCAGATTTAAAAAACAGATTTGACCTTTTACAGGGGGCATTATATGTTTAAATACTTGTTTGAATAAGATTAAAAGAACATAGCTCTTAGATATAATTAGACTTTTATAATGAAAGATATGATTTAGAACTAAGATAGCATTTTTTTCTTTTTCTTTTTTTAATATGGGAAATATGAAGATAAGAGGAGGATTAATATGAATAAAAACTTTAGCTATATAAATGTAATTAATATTGAGAAAATCATAACTGACAAAGATATTTCAAATACCAATGGGAAATCAAACCTTAACAAGAGCACGAAAACCAGGATATTGATTTATGAATTGACATTATTGATTTATGAATTGATATTATTGTTATTTGTATGATATTAGTAAAATATGATGAAGAATGCTTATATTTAACTCTGTATACATTAACAGTACCAAAAATTACAATTGTGTAATAAGGAGAAAATGGAAAAAAATATGGAGAAGAAAGGAGGATCAGGGAAAAATACTGGATTGTGTAGTATTGTTGTGTAGTAATGAACAGATTAATGTTAATGTTAAATATCTGAACCCAGACAACAAGTAGTTTACTAAGCACTAAAGACTGTAATTTTAAAAAATTAACAAAACTTTTATATTAAAAAAAAGCTATGTCAGCAAGATCTGGAGAACGACACAGTGTCGGACTGAACTTGAGATCTGATGACATAGCTTGATTAGAAAGAACATTTAGAGTGTCTTCGGCTGCTTGCCATATTTCAGTAGACATTACATTAATTCTTATAACCTTCATATTGTTAGTGACCAGAGTGCTCATCTAACCATCTAGTACTAGAATTACTCTTAACTGACCTTAGAAGAGTTCAGTCCATATAGTAGTACCCAAAAAGGAAATTTAAGAGAGTGTGCAACTTATCATACAAGATCCTTGATGTCACATGCTAGCAAAATAATATTTTGGCTTTCAATCCTACATGGAAAGAGAGATGCCAGATGTTCAACCTGGTTTTAAACAACGCTGATGCTGATATGCACTGGATAATTGAAAAAAAAATCAATCAAAAAGTTAATTTATGCTCCAGTAATTACAGAAAGATCTGTGATGGTATAAACTGTGTCAGGTAACAGAATGTGATAAGGAAAACTAGATCCAAGAATTTCTCACTGATTGCACACGTATACACAGAACACAATTCAGGATAGAATATGACGAAATAGACTAAGCTCAAGGTTAGTAATGGAGCCAGATAAGCCTGTACATTCTTTCCTTGTTTATTCAACCTGTATGCCAGATATGTATATTAAGAGTCTGTGAATTTAAGAAGATAAGCCTGGTTTTAAAATTGAAGGAACAAACATTAAGAACCTGCACTATGCTGATAGCAAAACTCTGATAGAATAGAAAATATATTAATGCTTTTGAACTTTAGTCTTGGATAGTGAAGAAAGCAAACAAATCAATCACAGAACAAATCAATTGACACTTTTTACTAGAGGCTCAAATGACCAAGCTCTCATATTTTAGACAGACGAAGATCCAGCTCTTATGAGAAATCATAACGCTGGTAAAAGTAAAGGGGAAAAAAAGAAAGGGGCAACCAGCAGCAAGATGGAAGGATTCAGTGATGGTGATGTTGGGTGCACAATTAGGGAGGGCCAGGTTGGGGACAGATTGCCCTGGAAGTGTAGTTATGCAATGTCACTAAGAGTTGATAGCACATAATCAATCAATCAGTGATTGTATTTGATCATGTATTTTTGATTGCATTCACTCATATTGATTGGCAAAAGTGTGCTATTTTATCTGAAACATTAAAATTTAAAATCATATCTGCATTTTTTTTAAAAAAATCAATGATCAAATTCAAAAGTTAAATTGGTTAAGTTAAATGTACAGGGATGATATTTTTGGTCCTTTGTGAAACTGTAATCATTGTTATTATTTTTATATTTATTAAAACATCTAATAATCCGAAAGATGTTTTTCAGATGTTTTTCTGCTTCTTTTTAGTCTTACGAGTCTGAGGAATAACATGTAATATAGTAAGCAATTATATTCAGTCAATAAACACCTACTGGGTTAAAGCATTAGCACTTTTCATGATATGAAAGCATTTTAAAAAATTTAAAAATTTACTTCTTATGAGTTAAATAGTATCAGTATGCATAAGGATCAGCAAATGATTTATGCATTCTAATGTCATGATAGTTTTGATCAGCATATGCAAGGTAATTATTGGAAGCTTTATTTCTTATACTAACTGTTAAAATAAACCACGTCAATTCCTAAAAATCCAGCAAACTTTAGAATCAAAAATTTGTCTCACTCACATGATCCCCTAAGGCTTTACAAGTTGCTCTAGCCCAATGCTGGAAAGAATTCCTAGATGTAGGTGGTCCTAGTAAATGTAAACCAACATTCTCCGGATGTTCCGTATTGGTATCTCTGAAGAATGTGGTTGGCTCTTGAATCCATGGTCTGGGTCCACCTTCAAAGAGGATATCTTTAGAAGAACCCAGAGTTACCAAAGCAGCAGAAATAGGATCAATAATCTAGGAGAGAAAATAATAATGATTCAGATCATGATAATATTATCAGTAATTTTGTCAGAAATTATTAATCTTGTTAATTAACCTAAACAGTTTTTTCATATTAGACCACTGCAGTATTTATAACAAACTGCAGTGATGTCAAACACTAAAGCTCAGATACTTTTGGTGCATGCACAATTGTTTTATTTAGGATTCTACCGTACAATACTTGTAATTCATGCAAAACATATTTTTTTTCAAAATAATTAATACGTTTGGTAACCTGCCTGCAGAAAAGAATTATGAGGGGAAATTCAACATGTTTTGTATCTTGCTCAACCTTTCTATATATGGTAATATTATTTTTTTGATTAATTTACTTTTAATAATCTGCGTTCAAATTAATGAGAGTTATACAGAGAAAATTTTTTTCAGCTACTTTCAATAAAGTAATTTTTTCTAATGTTTCCTGCAAACAGTATTCCACACATATATAAATATCAGCATATAATGGTATACAAACAAACAAAATCTAGCTATAGAAGACTTTCCATCTAATCATACAAGAAAAATTTTAAACACTACTACAATATTTATGAAAAAGACACATGCCTCAAAGTTGTGGTGTAATTTTTAATGAATATTTCTATTCATTAAATTTTATTCTTTAGTCTATTTTATTCTTCTATTCTATTTTATTATTTTAATGTTTTTAATATATTAAGATTTGTTAATGTTATTGCTTATTTGGTTATGGAGGGCGTTGTTTGATTTGCAGCCTTCTGAATTTCCTAGAAGAATGATAATTCAGAAATATTAAGGATCGCGGCGCTCACAGCTGTGCGAGGAGACTGCTCTCTTCGCCAGCGATTCTCCGCTGCCAGTAGACCCTTAATCAGGTCGAAAAGCCACCTTAGAGGGGTGGTTACCGCTGAGGAGGTCCTCGTCGTCCGTGGGAGAGCGGCAGCTTCTTCCACGGCCCGAGATTGCTCCTTTGGGCCAACGGTGGAAAGAACGGCCAGTAAAATGGCCGTTCACCTTGCCGCTGTAACCAGAAGTCAGAAGAACATCTAAGCACAGGAACCACTGTGGCTGAGCCGGGTGAGACTTTTTTCTTTCCCTCTCTTGGTTCTCCTTTTTCTTTTGTGCCTGTAAAAAGCACTTTTGAAATTACTTCCCTGCTCTAAGAAAGCGGTGTTTGTGAATGTGGGAAAAAGAAGCTTAAATGGATTGAATTAATTTAAAGTGACTTTTTTTCTTCTTTTTTTAAATTCACTTTGGAGTCTTGGATTTTTTTTTTAATATTGAATCTACTATTGGACTTAGTCTACATTTGAAGAATTCTCCTTCTTTCTGTGTTTTCTGATCTTGTTTACAATTCAGAAATGTTAAGGAATAATAAATATAATAAATAAATAACCCTTGCAGTCTTTTAAGCACATACTAAGGGTAATTCCAAATGGAAACATCAACAAATCTGATGTTTCAAGTTCATTTAATTCCAAGTGAAAGATTAGTCATTACAGTTGTTTAGTTCATTTGTTATCTTTTGTTGTTGTTGTTGTTGTTGTTAATTGCGAAGTTGTGTCCGACCCATCGTGACCCCATGGACAACGTTCCTCCAGGTCTTCCTGTCCTCTACCATCTTCTGGAGTCCATTTAAATTCACACCTACTGCTTCAGTGACTCCATCCAGCCATCTCATTCTCTGTCGTCCCCTTCTTCTATTGCCCTCAATCTTTCCCAGCATTAGGCTCTTCTCCAGTGAATCCTTCCTTCTCATTAGGTGGCCAAAGTACTTGAGTTTCAACTTCAGGATCTGGCCTTCTAAAGAGCAGTCGGGGTTGATCTCTTCTAGGACTGACCGGTTTGAACGCCTTGCAGTCCAAGGGACTCGCAGGAGTCTTCTCCAGCACCATAGTTCAAAGGCCTCAATTCTTTTGCGCTCAGCCTTTCTTATGGTCCAACTTTCACAGCCATACATTGCAACTGGGAAAACCATGGCCTGGACTATACGCACTTTTGTTGGCAGGGTGATGTCTCTGCTTTTTAGAATGCTGTCTAGATTTGCCATAGCTTTCCTCCCCATGAGCAAGCGTCTTTTAATTTCTTGGCTGCAGTCCCCATCTGAGGTGATCTTTGAGCCCAGAAAAATAAAATCTGTCACTACCTCCATTTCTTCCCCATCTATTTGCCACGAATTGAGAGGGCCGGATGCCATGATTTTGGTTTTCTTAATGTTGAGTTTCAAGCCAACTTTTGCACTCTCCTTCTTCACCCACATCAAGAGGCTCTTTAGTTCCTCTTCACTTTCTGCCATTAGAGTGGTATCATCTGCATATCTTAGGTTGTTGATATTTCTCCTGGCAATCTTAATTCCAACTTTTGATTCATCTAGCCCTGCCTTTCTCATGATGTGCTCTGCATATAAGTTAAATAGGCAGGCGACAGTATACAGCCTTGCCGGACTCCTTTTCCAATTTTGAACCAATCAGTGGTTCCGTGTCCAGTTCTCACTGTTGCTTCTTGACCCACATATAGGTTTCTCAAGAGACAAATGAGATGGTCTGGTACTCCCATCTCTTTAAGAACTTGCCACAATTTGTTGTGATCCACACAATCAAAGGCTTTTGCATAGTCAATGAAGCAGAAGTAGATGTTTTTCTGGAACTCCCTAGCTTTCTCCATGATCCAGCGTATGTTGTCAATTTGATCTCTAGTTCCTCTTCCTCTTCGAAATTCTGCCTGTACTTCTGGTAGTTCTCGATCCACATACTGCTGGAGTCTAGCTTGTAGGATTTTAAGCATAATTTTACTAGCATGTGAAATGAGTGCAATGGTGTGATAGTTTGAACATTCTTTGGCATTGCCTTTCTTTGGAATTGGAATGTAAACTGACCTTTTCCAATCCTGTGGCCACTGTTGAGTTTTCCAAATTTGTGGCAAATTGAGTGTAGCACTTTTACTGCATCGTCTTTTAAGATTTTGAATAGCTCAGCTGGAATACTGTCACCTCCACTAGCTTTGTTGTTGCTCAGATTTTCTAAGGCCCATTTCACTTCACATTCTAGGATGTCTGGTTCGAGGTCAATGACCATCTCATTGTGGTTATCTGGGATATTAAGCTCATTTTTGTATAGTTCTTCTGTGTAGTTTTGCCATCTCTTCTTAATCTCTTTGTTATCTTAAATCAATTCATACTGTATAATCAAATATATTGAAGAAAGAATTTATTAGAATTAGAAAGAAAGTTTTATTAAACTAAGGCTTACTTTTATTGGCAGATAGGCTGCTATGGTAATACTGGCACTGAGGTGAATATGGTCATGGGTATAACTAACAACAAGTGAGGAATACCCTTGGCTTTCAGCTTTAACTCTGATCCCACTGCAGTATTCAGGAGTTGGCTTAAGTCTCCCTGTTAAAACAAAAACACAAGTGAGCATAAAAATAAATAACTTTTAAAAGTTTAGTTTTAAAACTTGCCCATGCTAATAAACATACTATCACATGTCAATGTACTAATAAAATGAATAAAATGCAAAATAGCCAATTACAGAGAATAAAGTTGAACCTCTGTCAAAAAGGATACTAGGTTCAGTTTGTCTGGTTAACCCAGGGGTCTTCAAACTTGGCCCTTTTATCATTTTTGTTTTGTATCTTAGACAAATTTTATCCACCTCACAGATTCATGCTTAATTATGAGATAAATGTATATAATGTATAAACTCTAATATTAAACATTTAAATGCATGCACTGTTAATAAAACAAAGTATTAATATATCAGGAAGTGAATTTGTCCATTTATTTAAAAATTAAAATTTATTTTAATTTACCTTGAAATGGACTGAACACATTGTGGTTTTCAATGTTGACAGCTAAATCAAATTGTGAACAATCACTTAGAGTGACCACCTCATTGGTTTCCTTGTTCATTACACCAATAATCTTCAGAGGCAGGTCCAGTGTCTCGCCCACATACGCTTCAACTGGACAAGGTGTGAACTTCATATCACTGGGTTCTATCACATAGACCTTGGAGACAAAAATAAAGTAAGACACAAGATCCAGGCAGAGATGCAAATGTTCAACTGGAATTTAGAAACAAACAAACAAAAATCCAATGTAATTAAAACAAATTTCATATTAATTGCTTAAACATTAATAGCACATGCTCATAGGTTGATTTATTGATTTGGAAGCAGCCTATTTCACACTGTCAATCATACATCATATTGTGTCTGATATCTAAAAGTTCAGAGAAAAGCAACTAAGATGATCAAAGGCCTGGAGACTAAAACATATGAAGAATGGCTGCAGGAAGTTCCATTGGACACCTGGGAAACTATTTGGGTGAGAAATGTCAAATTTACACAAGCACAGAACTTAAGGGAGAATTTTTATAAAATGTTTTATAGATGGCACCTTGATCCACAAAAAATGTCTTTTATGTACCCTGACTTACAACCTAAATGTTGGAGATGTGGTTGTATGGACGCTACTTATTATCATATTTGGTGGTCGTGCAGAGAGATAAAAGCATTCTGGATTAAGATATGGTGGAATATCCAGAGAATTTTTAAAAGGAGGGTAAAATTTACTCCACAATTATTTTTGTTAGGTATAGTTATTGATTGTGATACAAAGGAGGTTATATTGATGTTAAATTTGATTACAGCTGCGAGGCTGTTAGTAGGACAATATTGGAAGAAGGAATCTTTGCCTACATTGCAGGAATGGTTTCTTAAAGTGTCTCATTTGGCGGAAATGGCAAAGATTTCGGCTTTCTTAAAGGGTCAAACGCAAGAAAAATTTCTTGCTGTTTGGGATAAATGGATAAAATTCATACAATTTAAATTTGATATAAAAAATACTATATAGTTTTTTCATAATTTTTAACTTTATATATATATATATTTTCTATTTTATATTCTTTTTTTTATAAATATAAATTTTTTTAATTTTTTTTAATTAAGCCTATATTCTGCTCTGGGAGGCCCTGGGGGGGGAAGGGGGGGTTTGGGTAGGGGTGGGGGAAGGGGGGTTTTGTTCGGTAATGTTTGGTTTTATTTGTATATGTTGTTTTTTGTTCTTGTATTGTCTTTTATTTTCTGTAAAATTTATAAAACTTTTTAATAAAAAAAAAAAAAGAATGGCTGCAGGACTTGGGTTTGGCTAGTCTAAAGAAAAGAAGAAAGAGGGAGACATGATAGCAGTATTCCACTGTTTCAGGGGCTGCCACAAAGAAGAGGGCGACAGAATATTCACCAAAGCACTAGAAGATAGGACAGGAAACAATGGTTGGAAATTGATCAAAGAGAGTAGCAACCTGGAATTAAGGAGAAACTTCCTGACAGTGAGGACTATTAACCAGTGGAACAACTTGCCTCCAGAAATCATGGGCGCTCCATCAATGGAGGTTTTTAAGAAGAGACTGGACTAGACATGTCAAACTCGCAACATCACGTGACGTCGTGCAACATATCGGGACGGTTTTGCCATTGCTGGCAATGGAGTGGGCGTGGCTTCCGGATGATGCGTCCGGCCCATGGGCCGGCAGTTTGACACTTGTCTGAGATGGATAGGTTCTCCTGCTTGAGCAGGGGGCTGGACTAGAAGACCTCCAAGGTCCCTTCCAGCTCTATTCTACTCTGTCTATATGGTGCCCATCTACATTATTATGCCTGCCTTCAAACCAAACACTTCAGAAATGCCTGGCTTGTAAAATAATTATACAGCAAGACTGCTTATAAGTGGTAACTTACAATAGATTGTAAAGTGCAACCAATAGTGTATTTTCTGTGGCACCTGTGTGAAACTGTTATCTCAAATACAGGAATAAACTGACACTTGGTTTGCACTGATTTCTTTATTATTGATAAAGAAAACATCACAGATGGATGGCAACATTTCATAACAACTACGGGATCAAAGATTTTCATTTGGCATGTCTAATTTTCGAAGCCATCTGCTTACTGCTTCAGGTTAAATTGTAGGCCATATGGTATGGTGTTAAAATTGTAATCCTTGTGGAACTTATACACTACTTGCATAATCTGATAATCAAGGTCAGTGGGCAGATGCTTTGTTCAAGCAGAAAATGCAATTTAAAATCTTAAATTGAAGATGTTAGCTTAATTTAATATTTGTTCCTTACAAATTCAAGTGGGGTAAAGTGCACTCCTATTGCTATGTGCTCTGAATCCTGAATCTGAAAGTAGACTTTTAATTAAACACATCATTTCTGAATCTTCTGGAAATAAAGTTTTGGAAGCACCACTCATTTATTTGAAATTTAGAAGGGGGAGACAATATAATATTTCAATACTCATAAGTGACATGTACAGTTGTCGGGGGCATGTGCAGAAAGCATAGCATTATCTATCAGTTACTACATATACCTGCAACCTCTGAATCTGAGGCAGAGGTTTGTAAGGTACACTATTTGGGGATCGAGTAGATAATTTTGTGGGTCATCCAAATAAGATTTCAGGTAACTCCATTCACATGCTTGGGGTTGGATTTGAATTCCTGGCTATGATATTTCACATCCTATACTCAGTTTTTCTTTTAACTCTATCCTTGTTCTCAGAAGTATGACATGTTGTATGAAGTCTGTTGTGAAATACTTGTATTTACATGTAGTTTTAAAATAGTAATATGAGACTGATGCTGTTTACTCTAAATAAATAGTTCATCTAGGAAATTAAACTGCCAAAGAAGATTCATCAGTTAGAAAGTTCCCTACCTCTTCATACTACAGGAAGTACCATAAGTCTTCCCTGGAGCTCAGAAGATACCTTCTTACAAAATTACCTTCATTTCTCCATGGTGTAAAGGATTCTGAACATCTCTGGCACAAATGACACTGACACCAATTTCATTGCCAGTTGTCATTATTCCCTTAACTGTAATTGAAGCAACATTTTGCTGAGATGAGGTCCAAGTAAAATTTCCACTCCCGCCATAAGCCTAGGTTCATGAAAGAAAAGCAAATTAAAACATTAGCTTTATTAATCATTTTAAAACTATACTTCCGTTAATTATTTAACTCAAATTAAAGAGAATACTTTGGAGTTAGAATGCAGTATTGCAGGCTAAGTCTGCCCACTAACAGGAGTTCAGTCCTAATAGGCTCAAGCCTTCCATCCTTCCAAGGTTGGTAAAATGAGGACCCAGATAGTTGGGGGCAGTATACTGTCTCTGTAAACCCCCTAGAGAAGGCTGTAAAACACTATGAAGCGATATACTAGTCTAAGTACTATTGCTGTTGCTACGTAAATCTTAATTCCTTTCTGAGCATGAGTCAGTCACACATATCACTACAGTATAATTCTATTTTTCTTTTTATCAGAGGTTGTATTTGTTGATACATCTCTAAAACATCTCAGTACCTGATGTCTTCACATATGTTGGATAATCTGAGAGATTTCAGTAATTACCAATATCTGTAGTCAACATATTGCTTCTCCGGGCCAGAACGTAAACGATCCAGGTGATAGGATTGTCACAATTTTTAGAAGCTGATTAATTTCCTTATACTGAAAGCTGGAGGCAGCCAACTGAATTATGTTGCCCCACTGCAACTACCATGTCTACTGCTGAAAGTATTTGCTAATGACAGAAATTATTTGGAAGTATAAATGCCAGAGAGAGAGAGAGAGACAGCACAGAGAAAAAGAAGAACATTGATTTCTTCTTGATATACTATCTTTATTTTATCCCTAAGGGAAGACTAGCTACATATATACATGGCTATTGAAATTAATCAGAAGTCAGTCGCTGATAACAATAAAGAGTAACTGCATTTATTATGATTCCCACAAAGACTTGAATAGTTCTGCATGATAGTATCCTCTGTATTTCCAAAGGTCCTGTATCATAGTTTTCAAAGGCCATCAATAAAAGAAAAGTGTTAGAAAATTTACTTCTTTTCAGTTTTTTTAGGCTAAAAAAGAAAATGCCATTTGTTCCACATTATAGCCTATGAATACGGAAAGATGGATTTGCTTGCAAATTAAGCAGCAGGATAGCTCTTTCTGCTGAAGCTATCACAGATCTTTACCATCTGTTTGAATTCTGTAGTTGCATAAAAAAAAATCTAGTCTGAAAAGCATCTAGTTACTAGTAGAATCAGCTTAGGTATCACACTGCCAATATGAATATACAATCTGCAGCAATAATAATAATGATAATAATAAAATATCTCCATATCTTCTGCTAGCATGACTTTCCCTCAGGCTTCCTTCCTATGACTCCCTTCTAATGCTTCACCTATTTCTTCCATGCAGAAGGCTATATGTGTGGAAGGGCTGCACATGAAGGCTCATTTGTCATGGAATTATTCTCAGCAACATTAAGTTACATAAAACGAAGCACAGTAAAAAATCAAGTGGAATTTCCTTTTTAAAAATAAACTTGGCCCTTTCTTTTCCTAATTAATATAACATGCTAAAGCAGTGGCCAACATTGTGGAAACCTTTTGGGAAAAGTGTACAATAGTAATGCCACTTTTGGTTAAGTTTCCACCAATTTTTCTTCTAATTTCTTTATAACTGAGGCCTTGTTCACTTAATAATATTATTTTACATTGCTTTCTAGACAGCCAGTCAACTCTTTGCACCATTAATTTTATACATTTTACAAGCTCACTAAATGAAAGAAAAAAAACCCTAACCAACTTGAAAGCGATCACATAACACACTGACAAATGTCCTCCTCTCAGTTTCAATACCTGACATCAAGTTGTACTTCCTTTTTCTGGTTATTTGTCTATAACTTTTCATAGAATACAGTACAGATAATTGAACAAACTATGTTGCATTACATTCTTGATTAAATTATCTTTCCATTGATATATAATTTTATGGTACTACTCCCAAAAAAATGGTGTTATTAGCCATCAAACCTCAAAAATACACTTTCCCCAAAAGGTTTCCACAATTTTGGCTATTACTGTATATCTAAAACAATAATGATGATCAAATTTCATGATTTGGCAGAAAATGGCACTAATCAAATCTTTTTTTTTATTTTTTAAACCAACAAAACAAAACATAACACATACACACACAGTGTATACTCCTCCCTTTTTTTAACAGCAATTTTGTAATGGTAATCTTCTATTATTTACATTTTCCCCTCTTATTCTTCTTTAGAATATTTATCCTTGTTGTCCCGTTGTTTTTATTATACACACATTTTCCACTTTTGACCCTTTCACATTTATTCTCCTCTATTATTTCTAGGTTCTAATCAGTCATACCACTTGTTCCATATTAGATAGTACTCTGTGACTTCCTTTTCTTTTATTTCTTTTCTTAATTTGTCCATCTCAGCACAGTCCAGGATTTTTCTTATCACTTCTTCCTCTGATGGTATATTCTCATTTTTCCAGAACTATGCCTATGCTATTCTTGCTGTTGTTGTTATATGTAGAATTAAGTACCTTATTTCTTTACTATATTTTCTGTTTAAAATACCCAACAAAAAGATCTCTGGTTTCCAGTCTACGGGTTGGTCTATTATTTCTTCAATCCATCTTCTTAATCAAATCTTTCTACAGGTAATTTCTTCATCATAACTGACCCTGTTTCTAGCATTAGTAGCTGAAACAGAAATAAAATATTATCTTTAAAGTTATTTTAAAATAAATTGTGGTCCATCGAGTCCAGCACTCTGTTTCCATAAGCAAGGTTTCTCATAGATACTAAGATGCTTAAAGTATATTTCTTAATAGACCTTACTTACAGATTTCTTTGTCTAATTCTAAGCATCTCTATGTGTTATGTGTTGAGTCCGTGGTGGGAAAACAGACACGAGAAGCAGCTGGAGTTCTCAGTTTCATTTATTCAGCGTTCAGCTTACAGGAAGATGGCTTCAGCCTCGCCCAAACACCTCGCAGCCTCTTATATAGGCAACTCCCGGGTAAATGGGTTACTTTTCCCGCGCCAGCACCCGCGCATGCGCACGGCGCTGGCGACAGCCTGTCTGGTCCCGGCAGCTTTGCACCTGCCCGGGACTGCCTGCAAACGCCCGAGCCGTTTGCAAAGGCTCGGGACATAACACCCCTTTCCCCCGGGCTAAAACTACTACCAACATACAACATTTATTTTATATGACATTTTGCTCCCCAGTGCTCCCACTGATTACTGGCTTTTGCCTTGCCAGCAATGTTATGTAATCTTCTAGATACTTAGGAGATTTCTTTGCTCTCTGTGACCTTCTTAGCTCTGGGTTACTGGCATAAGTCCCCTGACTGGAGGGAGGCGTGAGCCTGTTCTCTCTATTGTGCCCTGGTGTCTTCCAAGGACTGTGCCCCGATGCCTGGCCTGCTTGCTTGCCCACCGGGCTCGTCAGGCCAGGGCTTCTGTTACTTTGTGACCTGGTTGACCTACCTAGCTGTAGACCCTCAGGCCCCTTGAAGTGATAGCCGCTGCTGGGCGTCTCTGTAGAACCTCCTAGGTCAGTCCAAGACCTGTCAGGAGGCTGTCCATTCCCTGAACCCCATTCTGTGTTCGGGCTCGTGTGGGTTTCTGTACTTTCCCAAAACTCAGGTGTTCCCTGATTTGTGCTAGGGTTGTTGTAGTCGGGACTTGGTTCCTCGACTAGCTCTGTGTATGTTTGACCCCCTGTAGGATTTGGGGTAAGGTCAGGCCAACCTTGGGAATTGTGTGCCAGCTCTCTTGCGGGGAATGATTTGTTGGGATGCCCCCGGGTATCCTCCGTTGCTGGAGTGCTGTGTGATGTGTGTGGAAAGTGAGTATGCCCCCGGGGTGACTCCCTGGCTGGAGTAGGCGTGAGTGCCTGTTGTGTGGGTAAGCTCCATGACTTTCTTTTCGGAGCAATTGCAGAACCTTGGGATGAGCCGTTTGTGGCTCCCTCAGTGGAGATGGGCAGTAGCTCTTGCCCTTCCCTTTGCTCCAAAGGGTCCCCCTCCCCCCCTGGAAAAGACCCAGGAGTCTCAGCAGAAAAGTCCCGCCTAGAGCGAAGTTGGTCGATGTGCCGACGCAGGACACGACCGTTGTCCAGGGCAACCTCGTAGGAGAGAGGACCTGTGATCCTGGACACAGAAGCGGGGACCCATGTATGACCAGGCCCGTAATTGCGAGCCCAAACCGGGGCACCCACAAGTAGTTGTCTAGGTGCCCTAGGATGTGAGGTAGATGAAGGCAGTCTGTCCGGATGCAACCGGTCAAGTCTAGTAGTAAGTTGGCGCCCCCAACGAAGTTCAGCTGGACTTCTCCCTGTAGAAGTGGACGGTGTGGTGCGATAAGAAAGGAGAAAGTCAGCCAACCTGTGATGCCAGTCCCCGTAGGTGAGTCTCTTCAAGGCGTCCTTTGCGATGCGCACCATGCGTTCAGCCATACCGTTGGTGGACGGGTGAAAAGGCGCAGACGTGGCATGACGAATCAGGTTTGCCTGTAAGAAAGCTTGGAATTCGGAGGAGGTGAATTGAGGGCCGTTGTCGGACACAATGACATCTGGCAGCCCGTGTGCAGCAAAAATCCCCCTCAGTACCTGAATAGTCTTTGCAGTGGTGGTGGATGAGACAGGCACAACCTCAAGCCATTTTGAATGGCTGTCAACAAGGACCAAGAAGAACTGGCCCTGAAAGGGCCCAGCGTAGTCAATGTGCACCCTAGACCATGGGGACTGTGTTTCCTCCCATCTATGCACAGGAGCTTGGGGCATCTCTGGGCGAGATCGTTGGCACAGGTGGCATGCGTGTACCTTAGCCTCAATATCTTTATCTAAAGCAGGCCACCACAAGTGGCTGCGTGCAAGAGCCTTCATACGAACAATGCCAGGATGACCCTCGTGGAGGGATTCTAAGACCCTAGTCCTCATTGAGGTGGGAATGACAACTCTGTTTCCCCAAAGCAGACAACCCTGAGAAAGGGACAGTTCGTTTCTTTTGGACCAGAAACTCTGAAACTCAGGACTAGGGCAGTGCTCAGGCCACCCGGACA